AGTGGCGTGTCTGCTCTTAAAACATCTCTGGCTACGTCCGCTTCTTTCATACAGTCTACTTAAACAAAACACTGAACTCTAGCAGCTCCATTTAAAGGACAGGAAGGATTGTGGGTAATGTAGTGCGGTCAGTCAAGAATCACTGACAACAGGAGAAATTACTGACTGAACTGAAGTCAGTTTAATGACTGAGGCTACTGGTATAAATAGACGACACACACACACACACACACCATCTGCTTTAAATTAGCCTGTTGATGTTTTCCCATGACCTCTCCCATTATGTTCACATCTGTACACACACACACTCGGCGAACCATTACTGTGACTAATGGTGATTTATTGAATTAGTTGTTGTTGTTCTAAATTATTTATTATCGTTGGTTCTTTTTGGAGTAAACATGTTTTATTGTTTTAAAGAGATCTCCACAGTAGATGAGTAAATATCTCCAGACACAGAGCTGCATCGACCAATCAGGTCTTCAATCTGCCGCTGAGGTCAGAGGTCATTGGGTTCGACAGTCGTCGTTTGTCTCACAGAGCGTGTGCGGATTGCTGCTGTGAGAAAACAGCCTGAATAATCCTGTTAGTTTGAGCGGCCATTAAAAATGCAGCGTGTGTCAATAATCAGCCAGTCAGCCCAAACAATAATCAATAACTGTCTCCACAGGTTTCTGATTGTCATAAATAATCAATCAGCCTGAGAGGAGAAAGGAAACGCTGGTCGAGCCTGCGTCATCACATCTGAGCGACGATTCGGCCCCGTGCACAGGTGTCATTTACACTTTTTGAAAGCACTTGCTAAAAGTTTTCTGAAAATTAGCCTGCAAGACATATAAGTTCTATGAGAGAGGTTACAATAGGAAAACATGAAATACAATGTAAATATAGAAGAAAACAGCGTTATATCTGATTTTTATAGCCTATCCTGAGTTGCCACCGGCCACATGAATTTTGTTTCCCTTTCATATAAACAAAGACATTTCCACCATAAGTTGGTGCAGAAAATGTCTCTAGAATGCAGGAAATTAAGAGTTTAATGCTCACAATCTTCTGGGGGAGGAGCCACATTCAAACAGCCTCTTTCTTCAATGAGTATTTCTTCTAAAAAGCATTGGAGAATCTTGTTGTCTTGTTCTCGTGACTCCAATATTGGGCATTATCATGTGTCGTGGACCAAGTGTTCGGTCACACCATTAATCTCAACCCTCAAATGTCCCCACCACTTTTCAACATAAAGTGACCCGCTTGGCCTCGCGTCTCTGAAACGTTACGGAAAACAAATCAGCGGAAAAAGATGAATCGGCGTCTGTGGATGAAGCTGAACATGAATCAGGAAACGGGAAGTTTAATAGGATGGACGCACGTTCTTTAAGTAGGACACAGGTAGGAGCCGTAGAGAGCGGCAGTGACCAGTAACACCAGTCAGTCCAGCTGCGTACTGATTCATAGTTTTCACGTGACATCACACTCCAAGGAAAACGCTCCCTTGGAGGGCAAAAAGACGTTAATTTCTGCTGCCTGCCAACCAATAAGCAAGTGACACACTGTTACTTTGAGTTTGTTACTTTTTACGTTGTCAAAATTCTGGACGGTTGTTGTGCTTTCAGATTTACTAATCGAGGAGACGAGCCTGAGCTGTGTCAGGTGAGGGATTCCCCAGAAGGTAAAAGTAAACATCGAGTGGCGGCAGCTGTAACGTTATACGGATCAGAGATGCCCCGACACTTGCAGTTTGTGGTCATATCTTTATTTTTCTTAAGGTGAAAGGTGATCCAAATAAAATTTGACTGCCTTTGCGGCGACTCGACGGGGGAGTCGTGGTGTTGGTCCGTTGTTTTGCCCTCCAGGTCACCGCGCATGTCACGTGACTGAAAACTATGAATGGAATCCGGTTCTGGTTCCTTCACCTCGGATCTTGTCAGCGCTCGGTGACCTTCCTCCTCTCCTTCCTGTCTCTAAAGTGAGAGGAGTCTCTGTCCTAGAGCGGCGTCTCTGGGTCTCACCTGTAGCCATCGTCGGTTTCCCTTCAGTATAACAGGTGAACGTCGGCTCACCTGTGTTTTGGACCTGAGCCGTTGCTGCTGTTAGCGTCAGCTGGATCTGGGAGAGCGCGACACGTTGAACACGGGCTGTTTCGCAATACCGAGTTCGCCAAGTTCAGACTTCTGTACTTTAAAGCTCGGACTTGGCAAGTTCGGCTCGGGAGTACAAACTCCCAGGAACAGGAGCACGCAGTCATTCAGCAATTGGAACAGCAGTAGACTTGATGACGGCCGGACCCGTTAGCGGGCGGGACCTCACATCTCCGAAAACATCGTAGCAATTTTTTAAATCAGCTCTGTCTTGAGAAATCAACCACATATTTGTAGTTTAGTCTTTTTGGCAGCGAAATGCATCCTGGGATATCCGGCTTTCCGAAGTCCACACAAGTCACCACCGATGCAGGCTCGGTAAAACGAGTGGAGCGAGAACACATCCGGGTATTTGACTGTACTTGGCTACATGCGGACTTTTGAATTGGAACAGTACCTTGGCTGCGACTTATGACGTTTCACAAGAACACAAGAACAGAAAAGAATTGATTGAAAAGATTGAGAAACCGCTACGGTGAAGCGTTCTTTCAGATTCACGCCGTGTTGAAGGAAACGCTTCGCCACGTCGGAGCTGCTTCCTCCCTCGCACCAAACCTCCTGACTGCAGCTGCTGCAGTTTGTTAGAGAAGCTGAGCCAAACTTGGCTTAGTTTGTTTACTGGCTTGGCTGTGAAAAGCAGGCGATTGGCTTCTAGCAGGAAGGCCGGGATAACCGCCAGCTTTGGCATTACAGGCTTTCCCCAGTGAGTAACACATGAACCCTTTAAGCCTCGCTTTTTATCAATGCGTAGGCGTAGAACGGCGTCGGTGACACAAACTGCTTTGTTCACATACTTGCCTGCGTACTTTGTGTGTACCTGGAGGATTAAACCTGAATCCATTAGGATCATCTTCCTCCGACAACCACCGAATTTGAACATCGTAAACGAACCAAACGCGGCGGCACTCGAGCAGGTTGTGATTTTAATGAGACATCATAACGATCATAATTGCAGACTGGCTCCAGGAGTTTTACTGTAAACATCCCGCCATAAATCTCCTTTTTTAAGTCTGCTGCTGTCTTCTTCTTCTTCTCTTGGGTTTAATGGCGGTTGGCAAACCAACTGCAGGGTTTGGGTGGTGTGAGGAACAGGAGGTCGCCGCTGACCTGCCGGTTCATGTGCTGAACTGCATCTCGCGGACGCGTAGCGTTAATTTCTGGAGACTTGCACAACCAGAACGCAGGATACACCTGGCAGCCATCTTGCGTACGCGAACGCGTAGTTAAAAGCAAGTGTATCCAGGGCTTTAGTGTAATTTTTCTACGTTTAGAGCTCCGTGGTCAAGATAGCAGCAATAAATATGCAACTTCTGGTGACACTGTCAAAATAAAAGTACTTGGGAAACGAACAACCTCCTTACTCTGACTTTTCTGTTAAAAATCATTTACCTACCTTCAGTGTGACGCTACAGGGTTTCCCAAGCGCGTTACAAACTGAAGCCAACGGGTCTTGACCAGGCGTGTGACGAGTTGACGTGATTAGTGGGTTGTACTGAGGATTCTTTGAGTGGCGTGTCTGATGTAAACCATGAGGTCCAGAATCGACCAGTAACATCTGAACGTGTGTGAGATTGTTTTTGTGCTGCGTTGTCTTTGTTCACTGTCAGTTTGTTTGTCCGTTGTTATCAATTTCAATTTATTATGAACAGCCCCTCGAGATGCAGCATCTCATTTTCAAGGGGGTCCAAGAACACAAACGCATAATACAAAGACATAACTAGTAAACAGTGAATACACACAAACATAATGACACATAACAAAAGCAGTTGGCTCACTCAGCTGCTTCCACCCACAACCAGACCGACAACAAGTGAAACAGAAACACTGGAAAGTTCCAATGAACTGAAAAGGAAGAAACGTTAATATTCAGTTCTGATACTCAAGGTCAATTCACTTTACCTCCCTACACAATAAGACCGACAGCATCAGTAACACGCACACAGTGTGTTGTAGTCAAGACCGCCAAAACCGAGACAAGACCAAGACCAGTTCCCCGCGTTGACACAATGACAGTCATTAACAGGAACAACATATTTTTAAATAGGGTGATTGGTTGCATTTGAAGAAATGTATTTTACATCCAATCAAAGTTAAGATGTTAACAAAGCTATTTATTCCCAAAGTTACAAGACTACAACACAAGTGTGAAGATGGTGAAATCCAGATAACCTGAAACAGTGAAAAGACGTGATGGAGATCAAAGAAAGAGATAGTTCTGGTCACCGGGCGCCTTATAATGAAAATCTTTACCAGAGAATCAGGGTGTGAATTATACAGTGACAACCTTTTTTTCCAGGTCCAAAATAGGAGCGGCTTCACTAAACTAAAATCTTACAACGCTCACAATATCCTTGCTTATTTAACTAATGTGTGTCTGTTGATGATGATACGTCAAATTCATTACACCAGTACTTCCAAGGTAAAAGGAACACAGCATTATTCCTCGCATGTATGCAAAGCATCATGGGAGTTGTATTAGCTGTAAAAGTAAGACAAGACAGTTCAAGATTGATTTTCATGTAGGGATATATAGGGATTCGTTTTAGCCAATCAGCTGTCAGAAAGCACCAGGATTCAGCCAATGAGTTCTCTCTCTCTCTGCTAAAGGGCATGTAGTGGCAGTTCCGGGGCTTTCTATCACATCACATGATATTCATCAGCAGATCGAGTCGTCTCAGTTGTCACAGAATCTCGTCCCTGCTTACCTGAGCACAGGTGTGTGCAGTCAGACCAGTGTGTGTTCGTGAGGAAGACACGAGTGCCGACACGTGAAAATGAAAATAGAAAAACGAGTTGTTTGTTTTGGCGGTCTGTGGGCGTGGCCTTCATGTCATGTGAACACGTCTTCGTTGCCCCCCCTCCCAGGTCCCTCCTCCTCCAGTCCCACCTTGTTGACTAAGAGTCTTTCGCTGGAGCCGTCTTGCTCCCCGTGCGGCCACCAGGGGGCGCTGGACGCTGACGCTCCCCAGCAGCCGAGCTCCGACCCGGGGCCCAGCACCTCCTCATCAGGCCCCGCCTCCCTGGGTGGGGGAGCGGAGCTAACAGAAAGCCGCGGCTCCGATAATGGGCAGCTCCTGGTCAACGACACGGGGCCGCCGGAGCTGCCAGCTACCACAATAACACCACCGAGCAAGAGCCGACCGCCGCTGCCTGGACCGAAACCTCAGGGTAACAAACTTTATTTAAATTCAAACAGTTAATTTTATGTTAGATTTAAAATATTAACGAGTTTGATCCGTCCACAGTCCCCCCAAAGCCCCCCCACCTTCAGCAACAGGTGGGGGTTTTGAGGCCACGCCCCCGGGCTCCGGACAAGCCCCTCCCACCTCCCCCGCCCTGCAGACCCCTCCCTGCAGACCCCCGAGGGGGCCGGACTCCGCCAACCCGCGCTGACGGCACCGCCTCCCCCACCTGCGTCCTGTCACTCATCGAGAAGTTTGAGCGGTATGTTGTGATTGGTCAGAGTAAGTGATGTCATTGTTAAAGCCTTTTATTTCATTGTGTGTGTGTGTGTGTGTGTGTGTGTGTGTGTGTGTGTGTGTGCGTGCGTGCAGTGAGCAGATCATCGTGGTTCCTGACATCACCGGGGGGGCTCTGTGTCCCCGCCTCCCTGACCCCCCCTCCTCCTCCCGACCTTCATCACCATCTTCATCGTCACCGTCTGCTCCTCCCCCTCCTGACGAGGAGCCGCCCTCAGAGATCAAAGGTCATGATGACATCACACTGGCGGGTGAGGGGGAGGAGGGAGATGACCATGATGATGACGACGACGATGATGAAGAGCTGGTCGCGGTGTGTCGGGATGACCTCCATCAGAAGCGTCTCTCCATGGAGTCGGGTTACAGCGCCTCTGAGAAACACCTGGAGGACGATGGGGTTGCCGTGGAGATGAGGGAGCAACAGCAGCAGCTGCCGCTGCTCGACCAATCAGAGCTCCCCTCGGAGCGCTTGTCCCTCCCCTCTTCGCAGACGGACGGGAAGCTGGCCAATCGGGACAGCGGCATCGACAGCATCAGCTCTCCGTCGCACAGCGAGGAGCTCTGCTTTGCTGGCGTGGACGATGGGGGCGTGGCTTACCCCTGCAGCCCCGCCCTCTTGCCCCGCCTCTCCAGCTCGTCCTCATACGCAGGGGAGGGGGAGGGGGAGGAGGTGCGGGGCGGAGTCAGAAGGAGGAGGGAGTTCTCTGAAGAAGGAGACAGTGACCTGGAGGAGGAGGAGGCGGAGCTTACGCTGGTACTGCCCCCCCCCAAGACAGACAGACAGGACTCTGTTGAGGTGAGACAGGTAGCGACACAAAGGTCTCATCAGCGCCACCTGCAGTCAGGAGGTCACATGACACAGAACACCCAATCACATATCTTACGTACAGCGTAGCGCTCACACCTGTACGCATCCGACAGGTGACGCCTCTCATCAAACACGTCTTTAATGAATCAACACTCTGTCTCTCTGTCCAGCTGTCTGTCCAGCAGAGAGTCTTCAACATCGCCAACGAGCTGCTGCACACGGAGACCGCCTACGTCTCTAAGCTCCACCTCCTGGACCAGGTGAGTCGCCTGAGCTCCTCCCCTGCTTCTCCAGAACCAGAAGGTGCCGTAGAATCCTCATTTTCATTCTTGTATTGAGGGTTTCTTCGAGAAAATGTTTCCATGCTTTAATGTTTAAAAAACATATTTCTCATTGTTGCTTCAGCTCCTCTTTTCAGCCTCCTGTCTCTTGATTGGCCAACTTACCCGAGCACAGCAGAGGGGCGGGGCTTAGCCGCACAGCGCTGAATCAAGGCCTGAGACTAGCTCTCACTGATTACTGCACAAAAACACAACTTTCTAACTTTATTCTCTGGTTTTACTGAAACTGCATCAGAGTTGATGAGGAAAATTTTGTCCCGTTTCCCCTCTGATGTCCTCCGGTTACTGTTGCCGCTAACTACTGCTAACAGCAGCTGCTGCTAGCTGCTCTGTTAGCCGTGCAGCTAGCCTTTCTGTTGCTGATTCTGCACGGACAGGAAGCTTGCTGCTCCGAGGGCTGGGTTGGTGTTCACACCTCTAACATTAGCACAGAAGCTTTGGACCGCTGGTTCAGAGCCGGCTGATAACAGCAGCTAGCTTTAGCAGCAGCTAGCTTTAGCAGCAGCTAGCGGTTACCGTAGCGTTGGCAACAAGTAAAGCTATCTGTCCATCAGGAAACTTCACAGAGTTGAGGCAGAGCAGCCGGAGGACATCAGAGGGGAAACAGGGTGCAGTGGATATTGTAGCTATAGTTTACGGCGTGCTAACCACGACATCCCAGCTGTTTTCAAACTTTTACAAAGCTATCCATAATAAATAGGCTCCTATAACTTTTTTGAAAGTGGGTCTCCGACATTGACGGCGTTGTGTTACAGATTTCTGCAGCTGTGTTCACGATGCTAACCATTAAATTCACAGATGGGTTTCCGGGTCTCTTGCATGCGAGAGGTTTACATATGAAGGAGGAAACGATGACTGAGGCTCACGGTCTGTCACTTCCATGTGCTGAAGTCTTTTTACTCAAGATAAATACAGCACCTTTGAAAAGCTCTTCACAGAGAACCTCAGACCAAGTTTGTCCCTGCAGGACCTGACCGACTTCCTGTTTGTTTCTCCTCCTGCAGGTGTTCTGTGCCCGGCTCCTGGAGGAGGCTCGGTCTCGCTCCTCCTTCCCCTGCGACGTCGTTCAGGGAATCTTCTCCAACATCTGCTCCATCTACTGTTTCCATCAGCAGTTCCTGCTGCCGGCGCTGCAGAAACGGATGGAGGAGTGGTGAGGCCGTCGCTCCTCCTCTTCTCCTCCTCCTGCTGGTTCTCCTTCTTTAGGACTTGCTTTGACTCCTGTTGTGTCTGCAGGGACTTGAACCCACGGATCGGGGACATCCTGCAGAAGCTGGCTCCCTTCCTGAAGATGTACGGCGAGTACGTGAAGAACTTTGACCGAGCCATGGAGCTGGTGAACACCTGGATGGAGAGATCAGCTCAGTTCAAGACCATCATCCAGGAGATCCAGGTCCAGATCCAGATCCGCTGCTGCTCTCAGTCCGTCGTCTGGCTGTTGTCTCGTCTGTCCGGGTTGTAATGTTTGTGTTGTTGTCTTTGTGCAGAGGGAGGAGCGTTGCGGGAACTTGACCCTGCAGCATCACATGCTGGAGCCGGTTCAGAGGATTCCTCGCTACGAGCTGCTGCTCAAAGATTATCTGCACCGCCTGCCAGAGGATGCGCCGGACTACAGGGACGCCCAGAGTACGTAAAACAAACACCCAGGAACACCGGGGCAGAGAGACGGACACGTATAAACACCGCTCGACACAACAACCTGGAATCTGGTTCTTCACAGAAACCGATCACTGATTATATGTAAACCACCAGCGTCTAACAGCACATGTGTGCTCTGCACAGATTCTGGACCCAGAATCCAGTTAAATCAGTGTTGAAAGAGCCACGCAGGCAGCTGATCAGGTCCACGTGTCTCAGGCTCCACCCACTCTCCTACGTCTTCGTTTAACACTCAGACCTTCTACTGCGTTTCCTCCCGTCCAGACCGAAACGTTGAAGTGTGAAAATGCTGCTGACCCTGTTCTGGTTTTAAACTCCGCTGCGGCGTGTTAGTGCTGACAGGTGGAAACGATGATGCTCACGTTCGGCTTCCTGATTGGCTCTCTCTCACGATTCTGCTGACAGAGTTTTAGTTTTGGTATTAAAATACTTTTTACTCTGCGTGTCTCCGTATTGACTTTGCGTCGACTCCCAGTTTGTTTCCCGCCACCACAGCCTCTCTGTCCTCCCGTCTTCCTCTCAGTAACAGTTCCTCCTCGCCGTCGCTCCGTGCAGAGAAATCTCTGCTATGGTTCTTCTCCATCGCTGCTCTTCATTTCTCTCCAGTAGAACTTTCTTCTGCAGCTGCAGAGCAGACATTCTGCTTCCCGTCCGGCACGCACACGCTCAGTGTACGTGAACGGTCACATGATGTGCATTTTCTGTCGTTTTAATATAGACGGAGATCAACTCTGTTGTGGATGTCGCCTCAGTGAAGAAGCCTGGCATGGCATTGAGTGATGCCGGTAAAGGCCAGTTTATCCTTCTGCCTCGAGTCCACACGCCGACAGCGTAGGCTACGTGCCGCCGTGAGGATTGATTCTTGTTCGTTGGTGTCTGCGTCACCTATGTTCTATGGTCCGCTGTGTTGGTCCACTATTTTCTTCTTCTTCAGTGGTGTAGGCTTCTCTATTTGGTCTGAAAATAAAATTTGCTTTACTGGCATGAATGTTAAAACAACAGTTTGGCCAAAGCTAAAGGAAAATACAAAAAAACTATTCTATTCATAAAGTTCATCAAATAAATAAATAAAATAATTGTATTTCTATATATTGGATATAGAATAATAATATCTAATATTGTTCATTTCTCTACGTCTTCTTTCATTACGCCTGTGTCTCCTTCTCGCATCGATAACAGCAGCCATCTCTGCAACACTTGGTTTGCACCTTCCTTTCAAACGTATTAAATACAGATGCTGCTGCACTCACATGAAAATGCTTTTATGCTTGTTAGATCACACTGCGTGTAGTAAATAAATGTGTTTGCATGTTACCCTCCCATTACTTTGCACAATAAAACTGAAGCGCCCCAAACTGCATATTCATTAAGGCAAAAGTAATAAATGAACAACAGCTGCTATCTTTTGAAAGAGGTCACTCTGCGTGCACACCGTTAGTAGATCAGCTTACGTGTTCATTTGCTGGTGATATCAAGTTTGCACACGTTTTTACTCAGGCAGACCTTTAGGAAATCTGGCCCAATGCGTTTGGGGCTGATGTTATTTTACCGTTCTGTGACAGAGCGTGTAGTACGTGACAGAATCGCTTGGTAATGTATCAGGTAAGTTAAAATCACAGATTATTAGACTGGTCCACACAGGAATGAAAGTGATCGGTTTGGTTTGTACCGAATGCACGATAATCTCTTTTATGTCTAAGACAGTTTTCCCTAGGGACAAATAAGGTAAACTTGAATCATGTGAACATCACGTTTCTCTGTGCAGAGTCTCTGGAGCTGATCGCCACGGCCGCAGAACACTCCAACGCTGCAATCAGGAAGATGGTAAGAAACTTTCACACAGCCAACACCCAGAGCTCTCAGCCGCAATCACCACGGTCTTCATCTCCCGCCGCGGTTCCGACCACATCACACACCGTCAGACACGTGTGACTCGTTAACTGTCTGAACGGCTGCTTCATGTGTTTGTGTTTAACTGCCTCATGTTTCTCCTCCGCTGGGTGAACCTCTCATCCTCCTCAGCAACATTACTGCAGATTGTTAGTAACAGTGATTTTATATTTATTTCATCACCGTTTTTCCAGTTTTTCCTTCCTCCTGCTTCAGGGACAGTTAAGTCAAAGGTCAAAACTTTGGGGTCTTGAGATGGCTGATAGATAAAGGTCCCAGCCACAATCTGGTTAAGAACATGGGAACCGAATCCCAGGTCTCTCCCGGAGAACTGAACCCTAAGGTCTCTTTTGGAGAACTGAACCCCAAGGTCTCTTTTGGAGAACTGAACCCCAAGGTCTCTTTTGGAGAACTGAACCCCAAGGTCTCTCCCGGAGAACCGAACCCTAAGGTCTCTCCCGGAGAACCGAACCCTAAGGTCTCTCCCGGAGAACCGAACCCTAAGGTCTCTTTTGGAGAACCGAACCCTAAGGTCTCTTTTGGAGAACCGAACCCTAAGGTCTCTTTTGGAGAACCGAACCCTAAGGTCTCTTTTGGAGAACCGAACCATAAGGTCTCTCCCGGAGAACCGAACCCTAAGGTCTCTGCCAGGCGTCATCTTTTGGTTTTGAGAAACTCATTCATCTGTTTCTCAAAGTTGTTCAGTTTTAGCCTAATTTGCTACGTTTTCTGGGTAAATTTACGTTGACCCAAACTGCTTAGCTGCATTGACTCCCTGTCTCTCTGTCTCTACCTGTCTCTACCTGTCTCTCTGTCTCTACCTGTCTCTACCTGTCTCTCTGTCTCTACCTCTCTCTACCTGTCTCTCTGACTCTACCTGTCTCTCTGACTCTACCTGTCTCTCTGACTCTACCTGTCTCTCTGTCTCTACCTGTGTCTCTGACTCTACCTGTCTCTCTGACTCTACCTGTGTCTCTGTCTCTACCTGTCTCTCTGACTCTACCTGTCTCTCTGACTCTACCTGTGTCTCTGTCTCTACCTGTCTCTCTGTCAGGAGCGAATGAGGAAGTTGTTGAAGGTGTACGAGTTGTTGGGAGGAGAAGAAGACATCGTTAATCCCACAAACGAGCTCATTAAAGAAGGACACATCCTGAAACTGTCCAATAAGAACGGGACCACGCAGGACCGATACCTCATACTGGTACTCGCTGTCTTCTACTCTGTTCTGCTAGATTTATAATGCAGCCTGAGATGCAGGAGAAAGTAACACCCGTCTGTCTCTGCAGTTTAATGACAGGTTGCTGTACTGTGTCCCGAAGCTGCGTCTGATTGGTCAGAAGTACGGCGTCCGTGCTCGCATTGATGTGGACGGTATGGAGGTGAGACATCATCAGCTGATAAACGCCAATGATTACTGAGCGGCGCTCCGGTCTGATTAACCCGGTCTACCTGTCTGTCCACCTGTCTCTCTGTCTGTCCAGCTGAAGGAGACCAGCAGTGTTGCAGTTCCCAGGACGTTCCTGGTGTCTGGAAAACAGAGATCCCTGGAGCTGCAGGCCAGGTACCGGGTCCAGACTCCATGGTCTATCTGTCTGTTCAGAGCAAAGCCTGTAAAAAAGAAATGGACGTAGCCGCCGTGACGTCACAAGTTGGTTTGTGGACTACCGTTCTGTAGCCTCGACTTTGGCATCTTGGCCGTCGCCATCTTGATTTTTTGCGACCATCAGCACCTGACAAGAGGGTGGAGCTAGCTAGCTTGGTTAGCAAGGTGCATCTGTAATTCACATTAACTGTGATATTAGCTGGGATGCTAATTTTAGCTAGCGACAAACAGGCTTAAAACAAAACGTACTTACTGAAAAATGAGCAGCCGACTCCTGATGAGCTTTTTCAGCGGCGCTGGTTAAACAGAGCAGCAGATACGAGTCGCCTCTATCCTGATTGACAGGTCGCCAATCAGCTTGTAGCCCCGCCCTAAAGCCTCCCCTGCTTCCTGGTCTCTGTTCCTCTAAATGGGACCATAATTTACTAAATGAACATCATGCTGTGTTGAAGAGTTGAAACTAGCGACTGAGACCAGAAACTCATCAGGAAAGTGTTTACTGAGGGAATAAATCAGCTGACAAGTAGAAACATTTTCTCAGAGACTTCTATACAATCACACTTCTTCCTGCAGCCGCTGGAGTCGCCCCCTGCTGGCTGCTGGAGAGGACGCAGGTTTAAGGCTCTTCAGCGCTGGCTTCACTTTCAGGTCGCCACCATGTCATATTCTTATAGAATCATAGATTAAGGCGGAGCCTGTGACGCTGGTGTTCAGAAAAGCTTAAAAGAAGACGGGGAGCTTTCTTCTGTTTCACAGTTCCACCTCGCAGCACCGGATTCCTCTCACTGTGGAAATATTCTGACAGGCTCGTCTTTCTGTCCGGACGTCGGTTGTCTGTTTGATCCACGTCTACTGGGTCAGGCTGAAATCGTGAACCCGACAGAACTTGTATTTGTTTTGCAGCTGATTCCAGTATTGAGGTGCATGTTAGTGGAAACCAGTCCTCCCCACAGACATGTTGTTTTTTTGACTGGTTTCTCTGTGATTGTGTCTCTGCAGGACGGAGGAGGACAAGAAAGACTGGATACAGGTAACACCAGGCGACACTCAGGGTCTGCTTTTTGTTTGACCTCCAGTGGTTTAACGTCTCACCTGGCTGCAGTGACGTCATCCCTGCCGGGTGTGGTCACAGGTGCAACACAGCACATTTCAGAACACATTCATCAGCCGTGTGTGTGTTTGTGTTTGTGTGTCGTCAGGCCATCCAGGCGACCATCCAGAGACACGAGCAGACGATGGAGAGCTTCAGACATCTGAACTGTTCACTGCGAGACGACGAGTCCACGCCGCCTCACTCCCCGGTAACTCGCACACTAATAACTGTTCACAGGTCAGAGTCCCGTTTCCCAAAAGCACCTTTAGACTCAGATTATCTTAGAATCTAACTGACGAACCTTCCTAAGAGTGAGAGACGTCTCCCAAAAACAGATTCACTCGTCTCTGCTACAGAAACTAAACGCTACAAGTTTGTATTGTTGGTGTTCATTTGACCTCTTCACCATGAACATCCTTCATCATTTCAGTTCCACATCTTCCTGCTTTGAACAGATGAGCTCGGTACAGTCGGTGTATCGCGCTTGTCAAAGCCACCAGACCCCACTGATCTAAAAACTGTAATTTTCCCTCGCACAACACGGGAGTTGCTGCTCTAAAGCTGCTTCGGTTGGTTTGTGTTATTGTGAGACTTTGTTGTTTTAAAGGGTAAAAAAAAGCTAAAGTCACAACACAAACTAACCAAACGAGGCAGCAGTAGACCAGAGAGGTAAAATTAATGTTTTTATCAATGGAGTCTGGTGGCTTTGACGAGAGCAGTATAGCAGCATTATCTGGTTAAACAAAAAGGATCTTTAAAAAAAGGTGTCTGTCTTTAGGGATCCTTTCCTTAATGCTGTCCCAGTAGTCACATGGGGAATATAAGGTCCAGTTACTTTGTAAGCTTTATGTACGAGTACAATTTCTAATATTGTTATCAGGACATGGGGTTTCAGTGTCTCAGAGTTAGCTAATGGATAACTGTAGTATGGCAACACAAACACGCCCCCTACAGACCACTATTACAAAGACAGTTCTGTCCAACCTGTGGACCTTCAGCTGCAGAAAAGGTCAGTTCTAACTCTTCATCCTCGTCGCTCTGTTCCAGAGTTGCGTGGAGCTCGGAAAGAGAGCGCCGACTCCGATCCGAGAGAAGGAAGTCACGCTGTGTATGAAGTGTCAGGAGCCGTTCAACTCCATCACCAAGAGACGCCATCACTGTAAAGCCTGCGGACACGTAGGTTCACCTTATCTGAACATTTGTCTCTGTACAGCCGGGGGACGGATCGCGGTCGGCTCCACAACACATACCAAACCAACAGTGTTGTCAGTTTACAGCAGCTGAGAGAGCTAACAGGACGTTAGCAACCCACAGTACAAACATCTTCCTAATATCCAACAAAACCCTTAAATGCTTTGATGAAACCGCAGAAACTTCAGCTTCAACATGTTCACAGGACAGAAATAAGAATCCAGGAGCGTCATGTGTCTTTTACTTCAGTGTTTTGTTCCTCTGACTGACTGTTTGTGTTCAATCCAGGTGGTTTGTGGGAAATGTTCAGAGTTCCGCGCTCGCCTGTCGTACGACAACAACCGAACCAACCGCGTTTGCGTCGACTGCTACGCCATGCTGGTGGGAGTGTCGCCCTCGCCCAACACGCTGACCAGCAGCTCCCACAGGAGGCGCTCCATCCTGGAGGTTAGTGTGACATCACTGTGACATCACCATGTCTCTCTGTATTACATGCTGATATTCCCAGAAGAACAACATTTTCTCTTGACTTTTCTCATTTTAAGGTTGCGTCTTGCAGAAAACTGATGCTCTCTTTATCTCTGTCTCTTGTTACCATAGAAACAGGCCTCCCTGGCGGCAGAGAACAGTGTGATTTGTAGTTTTCTTCACCACATGGAGAAAGGCAGCGGGCGGGGCTGGCAGAAGGCCTGGTTCGTCATCCCTGACAATGAGCCGCTGGTGCTGTACATCTACGGAGCTCCACAGGTGATCACTGTACAGCACTGTACAGCAGCTGAAGGACACATGGACACATGCAGGAACACTGCAGTCTGTTAGTAACAGTGCTACCGCCCCCCACAGGCTGCAGTGGTCATTACAGCCACCAACAGACAACACTGTTGTGTTTCAGCGCTGCAGTTTGGTCTGTCAGCACCAGCTAGGAAAAGTCTTATGGGTTTCAGGGGAACTAATATGATAGACCAATCAGAATACGATTACAAACCAACCAACCACAATACGACTACAAACCGACCAATCAGAATACGATTACAAACCAACCAACCACAATACGACTACAAACCGACCAATCAGAATACGATTACAAACCAACCAACCACAATACGACTACAAACCGACCAATCAGAATATGACTACAAACCGACCAATCAGAATATGACTACAAACCAACCAACCAGAATACGACTACAAACAAACCAACCAGAATACGACTACAAACCGACCAATCAGAATACGATTACAAACCAACCAACCAGAATATGACAACAAACCGACCAATCAGAATATGACAACAAACCGACCAATCAGAATATGACAACAAACCGACCAATCAGAATATGACTACAAACCAACCAACCACAATACGACTACAAACCGACCAATCAGAATACGATTACAAACCAACCAACCACAATACGACTACAAACCAACCAATCAGAATATGACTACAAACCGACCAATCAGAATATGACTACAAACCAACCAACCAGAATACGACTACAAACAAACCAACCAGAATACGACTACAAACCGACCAATCAGAATACGATTACAAACCAACCAACCAGAATATGACAACAAACCGACCAATCAGAATATGACAACAAACCGACCAATCAGAATATGACAACAAACCGACCAATCAGAATATGACTACAAACCGACCAATCAGAATAAGATTACAAACCGACCAACCAGAATACGATTACAAACCAACCAACCAGAATATGACAACAAACCGACCAATCAGAATATGACAACAAACCGACCAATCAGAATATGACAACAAACCGACCAATCAGAATATGACTACAAACCGACCAATCAGAATACGATTACAAACCGACCAACCAGAATACGATTACAAACCAACCAATCAGAATACGACTACAAACCGACCAATCAGAATACGACTACAAACCGACCAACCAGAATATGACTACAAACCGACCAATCAGAATATGACTACAAACCGACCAATCAGAATATGACTACAAACCGACCAATCAGAATATGACTACAAACCGACCAATCAGAATATGATTACAAACCGACCAACCAGAATACGACTACAAACAAACCAATCAGAATACGACTACAAACCGACCAATCAGAATACAGCCACAAACCGACCAATCAGAATACGATTACAAAACAAACAATCAGAATAGAACAACAAACAAACCAATCAGAATACAGCCACAAACCAACCAACTAGAATAGGACAACAAACCGACCAATCAGAATACAGCCACAAACCAACCAACCAGAATAGGACAACAAACCGACCAATCAGAATACGATTACAAACCAACCAACCAGAATATGACTACAAAAAAACAACCAATCAGAATACGACTACAAACAAACCAATCACAATGGCCATGGTAGAATACCCATGATGCACTCTGACGGTATTTATTATTTCCCCACCAGGACGTGAAGGCGCAGCGCAGCGTGCCGCTGATTGGCTTCGAGGTCCTCCTTCCCGAGTCATGTGACCGCCTGGAGCGACGCCACGCCTTCAAGATCTCTCAGAGTCACCTGACTCTGTACTTCAGCGCTGACGGGGAGGAGCTACAGCGCAGATGGATGGACGTCCTGTCGAGGGCCGGGAGGGGGGAGGAGCATCAGGTCCACCGGCCAATTGTGGAGAGCCTGGAGGAGGAGGGGGAAGAGCTGGCGGCTGCAGCAGAGGGCGACAACACGTGATTCTATTGGACGAGGAAGGATGGCGATGATGGTCTTTTAAAATATTAATCCCTTTTGGAAACCAGAACAAAACCAGTACATACAGTCATATATTTAACACACACACACACACACACACTCTGAGCTCTCTGTGTATTTAAAGTTGCGTTGTTCGTCTGCATGATTCCTCACCCTTTTTTTTTTCACCTGTCCTACATCACAGAAAGGTGGGCGGAGCCTCTCTAACTTCTTTTTTTTAACAGTAACATCAGAACACAGTGCCACGCCGTTTTGACTCTCCTCAGTCTGGAAGGTGGAACACTACAGTACCCACAAGCCTCAGCTGCCAGAACTGTGACCTCATATTCAGAAAACTGATCCATAATTTAAAAGTGATATACAGTCAAACGCCGATCACATTTATTCTGCCGTGTCCCCCTTAACTACTTTTGTAATCGTGTGAGGATCAATAACGCAGCGCACACTCCAGATCCAGTTCCTGAGAGAGAAACCTGGTGGTGAGAGACGGGATGGAGTTACTTACAGACCAGGAAAACTGGACTCTACCTGGACACAGTTAGTCTAGTTAGTATAATCCAGCCCAGAATCCCTGTGAATCATGTTCTTATTGGACAATTCTGCACCTCATAGTTTACGTCTGACGTTTACAGCGAATACAGCAAGTAGCATGTTTGCAGAGAGTAAAGGACGTGGTTCTGTTCATGTGGGCTGTGTAGGATTCACCTCTAACCAAAGCTTGTATAAAAGAAGTGGACGTAGCCGCCGTGACATCACCTGTCGGTCGGTGGACTACCGTTTTGAAGCCTCCAGTTTGGCAGTTTGGCCGTCGCCATCTTGTTTTTTTTGGAACCGGATGTGACCATATTTGGACGAGATGGTGGCGCTAGCTAGCTTGGTTAGCATGTTGCATCTGTAATTCACGTTAACTGTGATATTAGCTGGGATGCTAATTTTAGCTAGCGACAAACAGGCTTAGAACAAAACATAATTACTGAAAAACGAGCAGCCGACTCCTGATGAGCTTTTTCAGCGGCGCTGGTTAAATTTACACAGAGCAGCAGATACGAGTCGCCTCTATCCTGATTGACAGGTCGTCAATCAGCTTGTAGCCCCGCCCTAAAGCCTCCCCTGCTTCCTGGTCTCTGTTCCTCTAAATGGGACCATAATTTACTAAATGAACATCATGCTGTGTTGAAGAAGACTTGAAACTAGCGACTGAGACCAGAAACTCATCAGGAAAGTGTGAAGACAGATTAATGAGCACAGAAACTCACGGCCAAATGTTGATGGATCTTCAAATGACCCACAGTAAACCACAGATTAAAGGAATTCTTCTGTTTTTAAAAAATAAATTTAGCGGTGCGGGTTTCCTGAACTCAAACAGGAAGTCGATATAAACTGTCAGACTGTTGAAAGGAGGTTTTTAAAACATGAAAGAAGAAAAAGACTGATGTGTCCTCTTTAAATGCACTTAAAAGACTTTTTAATCCCAAATTTCCCCCGAAGACAAAACTATTTAGTTTTTAAACTCCCCCCTCAGTGACCTTGCTGCTGCTGGCTGGTGCCTGCCAATCAAATCTCCTGTCTGGACTACGTTTCCCAGCAGCCTCTGCTCTGAGGCGTGTGCTCCTTTTACCTGCAGCCTTGCTGTCCTATTGTGGTGGACTGGGGTACTGCGGGTTTTTATAAAATCCCTGAGGCGGTTCATCGCGGTCCTGAAGAATTCTCACTCAAACACTCACGGTTTTATTTTTCTCAGTTTATCTACACATTATTAACATATTACATGTTTTATATATTATATATATTCATATTTCTTTGTCAAACATGGTGAGGTGATATTTGAAGTTTTTTTAATAGAGAATTGCAGTCGATTAATTTTCTGTTGCTTACTTTATTAATTTAAGATACATTCCTCTTTGTCATAACGCCCCAAATCCCCAAACGTCCTCCCAGTTCACAGTTGATGTTTGGAAGATGTAAAATTAGGACGAAAATACTCCAATAAATCAAGATATTGACATTCTAATAATTTTGATTAAAATTTTCAATTAAAAGTAAAAACAATAAAATCTCACCTGATATTTTTACTTATTTATCGCTCTACAATTTTCATTTAAAGGTGGGGTCAGCGATTCTAATCCAAAACACATCTTTGGTCACAATATTTACTAAATGAACATCATGCTGTGTTGAAGAAGACTTGAAACCAGCGACTGAGACCATAAACTCATCAGGAAAGTGTTTACTGAGGGAATAAATCAGCGGTTGTTGTGTTGTTGGCTATAGCAGAGAGCTGTGAGCGTCGCTGTCTGGAGCTGCTGTGCTGACCGTCTCTTCCTCTTTTTTTAGCTTTATGTTTTGCAGCAGCAGCTGTAGTGACAGTTTGCTAACCCACAACCTAGCTAACGTTACCTAGGTTACTTGCTGTGTCGTTGTTCGCTGCGTATTTGGTGTTGGATTTCTCAAGAATCGCTTACTCCACCTTTGAAGGAAACAAATGTTTAATTTCTGATAACTGTAATTTAAGATGTCAATATCTTATCATTTTGACCTTCAATTTCATAACATTTCAGTAAGTGTCTCAAACTTGTAACATAAAAAGTCAAAATTAACTTAGTGTGTCATTATTTTGAACAAACTTTTGGAAACTGTGAACCTCTAAAACTTGTTCAGGCTAAAATTAGCTTCCATATAACTGTGAGCTGGGAAATTGACACACGTAGACCTGAAATGATCAGTTGATTTAATAGATTAGTTGACCAACGAAGGTTAAAATCAAGGGTAACTGGACTCGGTTGAAGATACTGGAAGACGTTTCGTCCCTCATCCAAAGGACTTCTTCAGTTCTGAACTGAAGAAGTCCTTCAGGAATGGGAAGTCCTTTGGATGAGGGACGAAACGTCTTCCAGTATCTTCAACCGAGTCCAGTTGCCCTTGATTTTAACCTTCGTTGGAGAACTATGACCTGGATGACTGAGAATCTTCATAGACAGATTAGTTGACTGACAGAAAATGAATCAGGTTAAACTGCTGGTCTTTAACAGTAAACTGAATTAGCGCTTTGGACGTCACCTCGGACTGTCAGACGACTACGTGATTAATTGAGAAAATACTTAACAAAATAAATAAATAATAAACCAGTTGCAGCCCTGATCCCCTGTGAGATATGAGGCTTCTGCAGGACTCTGATGGTTCCAGTCCCAGATGATGACCCCCCCCCCCCCCCCCCCCCCGAGTTGGATGTAAAAAGTTTGAAGGAGTTTTTTTAAGACGGACGGCGACATGAAGGAACCAGAAACCGGACTGGACTGTAAACTTTCACGTCTCCGCTGAGTTCAGGTTGAACACTGAACCTCTTCACGTCAGATGGACTCTGTGTGCTGGATGTTGGAAATGAGTCCAGCGATTAGACAGAGCCGATGTGACCTGAACCCAAAAGAAAAAAAAGACTTTAGATGTTTTTATCATCTTTACTTCCAGTGGTACAGTATTTCTCTCGCCGTCTCTATAAACACCTTTTGGACAAAAGTGTTTTGATAGTGAAAAAAGCGAATATTATTAATATTACTGTTATTCTGATGAATCTATCTGATGCTATGATGAACTGAAAAGACAGACTTGTTGTTGGATATTTCCGTGTTTATGAGTCTGGGTTGTATTTGATGTTTGCTTGATGCAAGTTGATGCAAGAAGAAGAAAACAAAGAGTAAAATGTTTTTGTAAATATAATTTATTCTCCTGTGACCCCTTGGTCATGTGACTACGTAAAGGTTAAAGGTTAACGCTCGCTGTTCCTCCACACTCTGCAGACCTCCACACAGCCAGAGCCAAACAGACAGTTTGGGTTTCAGCGGCGGCCATGTTGGCAGTTTAGATTAACGGCTAACAAGGTGAAGGTTCAGGGAACAACGTGACATTTTAGTACATTCTCTTTCTCTCTGTGTTCTCCAGAGTCAGATGTTACAGATGGAGCTCTCTGTCCGGTCCTGATACAGGACCACAGTGATTCTGTTCAAAGCCACAGCAGGCTAGCACTGCTTAGCTTCTCAGATGGTCCCATTCCCAGGGTGTCAAGTACCTGTGTTCTGTCATGTCCTTCGGCATCTGGTGCCATAGGTCCACGCTAAATGAAGGCCTAGTATAAATAACCCTAACCTAACAAAGTAGTTTTGGTTCATAAACCTAACAAAGTAGTTTTGGTTCATAAACCTGACCAAGTAGTTTTGGATCCTAAACCTAACCAAGCGGTTTTGATGCTTAAACCTGACCAAGTGGTTTTGGTGCTTTGGTTCCTAAACCTGAGCAAGTGGTTTTGATGCTTAAACCTGACCAAGTAGTTTTGGATCCTAAACCTGAGCAAGAAGTTTTGGTGACTAAACCTAACCAAGCAGTTTTGGTTCCTAAACCTAACCAAGCGGTTTTGGTTCCTAAACCTAACCAAGCGGTTTTGGTGCTTAAACCTAACCAAGTAGTTTTGGTTCCTTAACCTATCAAAGCATTTTTGGTTCCTTAACCTATCAAAGCATTTTTGGTTCCTAAACCTAACCAAGTACTTTTGGTTCCTAAACCTAACCAAGTACTTTTGGTTCCTAAACCTGACCAAGTGGTTTTGGTTCATAAGCCTAACCAAGTGGTTTTGGTGCCTAAACCTAACAAAGTAGTTTTAACAACTTTAATTTTGAATTTCTAACCAGCTGTTGCATAATTATTTTTGCTAATTTGACCGCAGAGCCCACCACGTGCAAAAACGATTCTAAAGGGTACCCAGGGCGTTAAAAAGCAATGCCAAGGGTGTTGACAAAGTGTCCATATCTTATGAGTTGGGAAGGAGAACAGGTTTTCTCTTCAGATGGTCCAATTTCCTTATTTCATAACTAATCTAGGCTACACTCTATGTGGACAGCAACTAATGGTTACTACCTACTATCATATTACAAATTACACGTGAGCAGAAAATTGTTTCTGCGTAATATGATGTCAACTCGGCAAGTTGTTCAACAAACGTTTCAGAGACTTTGGGAGTTGTTGCTCCGATTTGACGGGGACTTAAAGTGAATTTTCCAGGAGTCAGGAACTAATTGTTCCAATTATTCCGACACCACATTAATGCTAGCTGTGTTTAGTTTATGCTCTAAGCCGAACTTAAAAACCTTTAGCAGAACGCAAAACATTGGTGAATGGTTTGGATTTTTTGGAGGGTGAAAAATAGGCTAACAGTTTCCACCTGCTTCAGTTCTTTGTGCTAAGCTAGCCTAAACACGTAACCATCTGAAACTTCTGACTCCAACGTACGAAACGTTTTGAAAACTGGATTTCTCAAAATGTTAAAGTCTTTCTTTGACCTTCTACCTCGGCTGTCGCAGACATGGTGCTCAGTCTGTGCGTGGCTCTGGCCGTCACAGTGTGTTTTTAGCGTGTTTTTGGCGTGTAAAGCAGTGGTGTGTTGCCCCCCCCCCCCATCGCCCCTCCCCTAGTGGGAATGGAAGGAAATGGCCAGTAACTCAGCCTTATAGTTCCCATCAATTTCATCAGCTGTCTCGATGTGGTGAAAAACATTTTGAACTTTTAACCTGAGTGACTTGTGTTGGGCAGTTGTTGATTATTTTTGCTAGTTTTCTTTTGGAGACTGGTTCTTACTGGTTCTGACCGGTTCTGACCAGTGTGTGTATGATGAAGTTGAATAGTGGCGTGTTGTATCAGTCCAGTGTGCACTTTCTCTTCATGTGCCAAAGCACGTATTCAAAACTTTACAGTATTCAGTACACAAGCGCTAGTGAAGTTGTTGGCTAATATATCAGATTTGCTTTTTGTATTTAAGTATTTCTCGTTGTTTCTTTGGGCTGGATACCACGTGTCAGTTTATTGACAGTTACAGTCTGTCTGAGCCGCTCAGTAAATTATTCTTTAGGTGTGAAATTAACAGTCAAGATGTCTAACATGTGGGTGATTTCTCTAAATCAACCCTACTTGAAAATTAGCTCTAGCTAGGAGGCTAGCTCCCAAAATGCATCACCACACTTAATATTGAATCTGGGGGTAGGAAACATAACAGAAACCAACAAGCTAGAGTTGGAAAGTAACCAAGTACAGCCGGTGTGAAAATATAGGTGTGTTAAGCACCAAAGACGGTTTTAACTGGTTCTTTCACACTGGACTGCTGTTCTGAGTCGGTCCTGGTTTCATTACAGTATCTTTGCCTTACAGTTTCTGGATTTTACTGAACTTTGTGCCAAAGCAGATGACTCAACTGCTGTCAGTGTTCAACAGTTAACAATATTTATTCATCATTTTTAATCCAAAGTGTTTTTTATTATTGGTTTTTGTTTTGTTTTCTACTTCCTGTTCTGCTCCCAGGAGGGTTGTGGTGTATTTCACACTGTGTCTGATTCCTCCTATCAGACGCTCTCAGTGTTATGGACTGTTATTGGCTGCTGTTACCATGAAGACCGTAAAGCTTCAACCGCTGAGATGAAGCTGAAACGAACCAAACAGGCAACTGTAAATGTATTTATATCAGCGAGCTGTTTAAGGCGAGACACCACAGTCAAACATTTCCAAACTTTACTCACAATCAAACTTTACAAGCTGAAAGGAAACATAAACAGAAGCTTTTTTTTAACCACAACTTTGTTTTTATTTTTAATATGCAAATGAGGTATTTCCTGATTTGCATATCACACATCCATTTTACAGCGCATTGAGAAGAGTTATATGGAATTCTTTTGGTATTATTGTGATAATATACCAAACGGCCAGATGTTCACAGAATGGTTTATCAAAATATTGTTATTTTAATGGATTTATTCAACATGATAGATATATGTGTACTGGCTCCTTTTAAAAAATATATTTACAGATAAAACGCCACATAAAATGAGAAAGAAAAAAGATATATTAAAACAAAACTCTGTACATGTCTCGTTATAAAACCTGACAAACTGTGTAAAATGATGATGAAAATGATGGAAAATGACTTGGCATACAGGAAACGTAATTTTGTTAAAGATCTGCTAACGTAACCCACTTAGCAGAATAATGACTGTTTGTCACACGGACACATCTCTTATAGATACCTGATATATGAACTAGCTAACATTGTTCTCTAGAAAACAAGCTTTCTAATCATGTATGTTTCAATATGGAGAGTTTTAAATAGAGCAGATGAATTTTTAATGTAAAATACAAACAAAGATGACATTTACGCTATCTGCAGTTAACAGACTCGGTATAAATGAAACAAATAATAATGTTTATAAAATTACTCAAGATTGTTATGTACATTTTATGAAAGTATGGTGATAAATAACTTGAGGCAAAATAATTTTGGACGGTGGCGTCTCGCCTTATGAGCCAATCAGACGAGGATCTCTGTCTCCCTGTCTGTCTGGGTGTAACAGCAGCATGGTCGTGTATTCTTCCTGTAGTAGTTCTGGTATCTTGTTATTATTAATTGATTGATTGCAGGTTACTGGTTAGTGGCCGGCCACTGCCTTCCATCCTGTTTCCTGTCTGTTTCCCATCATGCCCTTCTGTAAGAAAATACAATGACAAATGTTTATGAGGTTATAAATGAAATAAAAACATGACTGTCTGGAAGAATATCTACTCCTGTCATTACTACTGCCACTACTGCTGATACTACTACTACTACCACTACTACTACTAGGCCTATTTCATTCAATAAACTTTCTTGTAATGCTTTTAAACCACTTACATATGAAGCAACAGCACCATCCAGTGTCAATACATGAAAGTAGCCTTTAAAACAAATATAAATCAACAAATTGAATAAAGAAATAAATAAAAGCAGGTAAAGATGGGATGTATTTACAAATATTAATTCCTTTACCTCTTTTTATTATGGAGAATGAGACCGTAGCAATGTGATATTCCTTGAAATGTCCTTCAAAGTACAGAAAAATAAACAGGCCTACTGTTTTTTTCTTTTGTAAATTTTATGTTCGTGAATTTATAATAATTTAAATAAGAATTAAATTCATACAGAAAAAATCCTGTATGTTTATAATCAGAAACATACTGTAGAGACTAAATATGATGTGTTTGAAGCAAAGGAAGACATTTTGAACAATACAATTATATGATTTATTTTGGTAATGGAACTGTTGGGGAGTAAATTTACTCTGTACTCTACTAAAATACAACGTTAAGGTACTCGTAGGCTATTTTACTTGAGTATGTCCACTTTATGCTAATTGATACTTCTACTCCACTACATTTAACCGGTGGCTTTAGCTTTACTTTGCAGAGAAACAATGATATGAGTTTATAAATATGAACAGTAGATTAAATAATTAAAAACTGCTCCACAACATTAACATGCTGCTTACACATTAATGTATAAAGTAATAATATGTAGTTATAAATCATACAGGTTTATACAACACTGACAGGACGTCCCGCTTTTTTACGCGTTTCCTTTTAACCTTTTTAAAATTTTTATTTCAGGACATTCTGCTGATAATTCAGAATCAGAAAGAGCTTTATTGCCAAGTAGTATTTTACATGTACGAGGAGTTTGCTTTGGTGAAAAGGTGCTAGAGCTGGACGTAAACATACAGTTGACGAATAGATTTTAAAATATATAATATGCAATAAACAGATATTAAGAAGTTATAATACAGTTATAAAGGGATTATAAAACTATGCATAACAGAAAAAACAAGGTGGCAGTTATTTACTTGTGCACTACTCCGGATTTGTGTTGTGTGATTTGTATTTATACAAATATATAAACACAAGATTGAAAAATTATAAAAAATGTAAAAGAATAATAAGGAAAATGTGCAACGTCGCAGTTACATTTCTTTGTCAGGTTTGCGTGTGTCTGTGACGTCACGCCGTGCTGATGAAACTCAGTGTAATCTGAATTTCACAAACAGCTCCGCCCCGCCCCCTCCCTCCTCTCCGGCCCTCTGATTGGACGGCTCTCCTGTCAGTCTGAGCTCGGCCGATTATTCGTCGCGGGCTGACGTCACCTCGGATTTCCCCGCAAAACTTCCCGTAATAAGACCAGAGAGACAAAAACAAACAAGATGGCCGACCCTGAGGTGCACCGGCAGCTCATTGGCTCTCTGCGAGCCAAGCCGCGGTCCTATTGGCTGCTAGGAAGCAGCGCAGCCGCTCATTGGTCCGGAGGAGATCAGTCCAGGAGGTGAGCCCGCCTCCTGTGAGGGACTCAAACGTAGAAAGAGAACAGGTAGAAAACACCTGCACGTATGTCTTCCACTCATATTCAACAATATTTATGTTCTAATCATTTGTATCCATGTCAGAGTAACTAAAATACTGCACTTTTACATTTGTGAGGTACTTTACTTCAGTATTTCCACTTTATGCTACTTTATACTTTTACATATTTTATTTACTGCTCATTGTGACCTCTTTATAAAAGATACCACAACATTTCATAAAAAATTTAAAATGCTGCTAACGCTAAAATAAAATTTAGAAAAATAACACTGACTCTGCAGAACAGAGTACATTTTCAATACTTTAGAATTTACTTAATTGAGCCCCAAGAGGGAAATTTGTTTCTTTATAGTTGCTGACGTAGAAATAATAAAAGTATAGATAACGATTAAAAGTTTCCTCTGCAGGAGTTTCTTCTTTGTATTCTTGTTGATTTGTTTTTAAGGGCCTTAAAGAAATATAAATCATAATAATAATAATGTAAAATAAAAGTGTGTGAGATTATGTGCAGTGTACTGTAGTATGTGACAGAAGTGTAATGAATAAATAGTAATAATAATAATGAGTACTGTGGAGAGCTGGAATGGATTTAAATCTTTAACATTTGCAGTATTTGGACAGAATAAACCATTAACCAAGTACTGTATTATAGAAAAATATTTTTTCTTGGTATTTGGTTACGACATATTTAATTTATTATAAATATATTTAGATAACAGTGGATTTAAAATGTTCTTCTATTTATTGTTGTTGTTTTTTGTTGTATTTCTGACATTTCGGGATATAAATGTCACTTCCTGTGGGACAGGCTCTGTGTGAAGTGTCCGATCTGTTTGCTGTATTTCTATGTTCCCAGCTGTCTGGACCAGTGTGCAGGCTGCCCAGGTACCGTTCAGCCACTCAGAGGACTCGAACCTGGTCTCAGAGTTCCTCCTGCCCTGCACAGGTCCAGGTTCACATCAGCGTTGGACAGAAACTTGCAGCTGCTGTGATTTCACCTTTGAGACTTGGATCCCGCGGTGGCTGCTGGGAAGCAAAGCGCCTCACCTTTGGGTTAAAACGTCTTTATCTCTGCTGAAATGTCAGCCGTCAGTTCGGACCAGACCCAGACCGGAGAGCAAAACCGAACCGGGGTCGAGCTAGAGCAGCAGGACGCCGGGATCCTGCAGCCGCAGACCGTGTTTGTCATCCTGGACTCGGCTGAAACCCTCAACCTGGTCCGGTGAGTGCGGAAGTTTTCTGGGGAAAACCGCTATTGCTGCTGCGGTGAGAACCTCACGCCAAACTCCGTTCAAAAATCTCCGATTTTAAATCCGCTGTGCTCATAGGTACAAAGACATATGTAGCTGAAAATGACTGAATATATCTGCCAGATCTGTAGTGTCTACTGGTACAATCGGTGTATAAATTACACACCAAACGCGTTACTTTAATAACATATTAATAAGAAAACACGTTTTCATTCATTGCGTTTGCAGCTGAGATGAACACCAGTTACAAAACTTATTTGAATAGGTTTTGCTATGTGCCTCCGATCGATGCCGAGTAGTATTATAGTTCGTAAAGATGAAGGGAAACGCTTCTCACACACACATCTTGTTTGTAAGACTGCTAAATTAGCGGAGGAGCAGCTTCTATTTAAATTTTCGAATGAAGTTTGGCGTAACGGACTCATGTCTCGCAGACTTAACGTTACAGAACAGGTCATGTTAGTAGCTCTGCTGGCTGTAAGTCAGCTGAACAAAGTAACAACATGCACATGTTTTAAAAGTCACTTAATAACGCGAAAGATGACATGAAACCTTCATACATTTATACATCTCAGTTATTTATTAGACTTCTGTCTCAGTGAGCGGATATTCAAAACAAGTATCAGTTATTTAGGTAGAACTTTCACTAATAGAATTCTTGGTGTACAGGATCTGAGCCGAATTGAAACGCATTTACTAAATATTCAAACTGTATCCCAGTCTTGTTTTGGGACGTTAGCTATTTTTTCTGATGGGCAAGTAAACTTTAAATTGCAATAGTTATGAATGGAGTTTGGTGTGTTGTGCTCTTCTGGCACCGTGTTTTGATAACCATGATGATGACCTGTCTGGGACTTTTGTCTGCAGGTTGTTGTTGTTACTGTCTGACCTTTGACCCCTGATACACACACACACACACACACACACACACACACACACGGCGGCTGGTCTTCTCATGTATTTTCCCAGGGGAACCTGAGAGACAGTCAGGCAGAGCGACAGGCTCAGTCTAGTCCTCTTGGATGTCGTCCACCCCCCACACACAAACAATAATTAATGTTTCTGGTGAGTCAGAAAGCAAAAGTAAAAGCAAGAAGAGGAGGTGTCTCTGCTCGGGGTGTGTGTGGGGGTGAAGATGTTTTTCCTCTTTTCACTTCAACTGTTTCCAGATGTTTTTAAACCAGAAACACAACCTCTGCTTGTTTTAACAGCAACATTTTTCTTTTTACAGCGTGGGCTGTGTGTTTGGCCGCGTCCCATTTAGAAGCCAGCAGCCCCCCCCCCCGTTAGTTTGTGTACTACCGTTTTGAAGCCTCCAGTTTGGCATTTTGGCCGTCGCCATCTTGGTTTTTTGGAACCAGACGTGACCATATTTGGACTAGCTTGGTTAGCAGTGCTGGACAGTAGCGCCGTTACTAGTTTATCTACATTTCTCAGTAGCTTGGTGGCAGCGTTGAGGTTTTCTGGATCGAATAGCTTTTCAGTAACGAAGCTCTTTTATTGGCCGAGTAGCGCGGTAGCTTCCACACACGCTCCATTTCCCCAAACCTTTCTGAAGGAGCAGTAAGAATAAAGACACGTGTGACTGAGTTTGCTTTCTACTGTGATAGTTATTGTAACACCTCTTGTGAGAAGGATCAGGGTCCAGCTAAATATAAAATATAAAAAAATTCAAAGTAGCTTAGATGTAACTGAGCTACTTTTGCCACGTTGTTGTAGCTTAGCTTGCTACATTTCACTGGGGGCAGTTTCTGTGTAGTGAAGCTTCATTTAATGTAGAGTAGCTAGTAGCTTAGCTCACTACATTTTCCAAGTAGCTAGCCCAACACTCTTGGTTAGCATGTTGCATCTGTAATTCACGCTAACTGTGATATTAGCTGGGATGCTAATTGTAGCTAGCAACCAACAGGCTTAAAACGTACTTACACACAGAGCAGCGGATACGAGTAGCAACTTGTCAGTCACCTTGTAGCCCCGCCCTAAAGCGTCCCCTGCTTTCTGGTCTACTTTCCCTCCGTGGGCCACCGACGAGCCTTTGTGCGAAATTCAACGGTTTTCCTTTTTATGATAAACGACACTTTTGTTTAGTTTACTAACTCCTTAAAGGCAGTTTTTTAACTTGTCTCGACCAATATGAAAGATATTATGGTGATAACATGTTTAGACGGTCGTCCTGACGGACGCCACAGACAAGGAAATCTGTTCAAAGTGTCCAAAACGTCCTCAGAGACTCGATTCAGGGATAAAAACATCTCCAAAGTATAACGGTTGTCTCTGTCGTTCACGCTGAAGATGTAACGCTGTTTAAATGCTTTGAACGACGTGTCTGAGACTTACAGCTGAGGTGTCCGTCACTGTAATTTCCCACTGCACCTAAACGCTGCAGCGTCTGAAAACTGCTGAGTCAGTTTGACTGACGGTAAATAAAGACATTTTTTACAGTGTGGGAGGAGGAGGAGGCGTGTGTGTGCGTGGGCGAAGGGAAATGACTCAGCAGAAACACACACACACGCACGCACACACACACACATGCGCACACACACGCACGCACACACACACACACACAGGAAGTGGGATTGAAAGCAGTTAAACAGCTGACAGATGTTGTTCCTCCTCCACATTCTTCTTCTCTGGTGTTCAATATCAACATTTAAGTGTTTCCATCAGCAGCTGCAAACATCTGTCTCTCTCTGTGTGATGACGCCATCTGGAGGACGTTAGAGGAACTGCAGCGAGACGCGTGGCAGTTAGACGCAGCTGATTGGTTCACCTCAATTCAAACAGCTTTATTGGCACGAACACTAACATGTTGTTTCCAAAGCAGGACACATATATGACTTATTAAAGGCGTCACATGTGCAGGTTTGTTACTGATGCAGTTCGTTCTCTGATTGCTGTATTATCCAGTGCAACACACTTTGGGTGGCGATGGAGCAGTGGATAAGACACTCGCCTTTGGTGTGAGAGACCTTGGTTCGATTCCCAGTGCGGGCAGGAAACTTAACCCCTCGTTGCTCCAGCGACCTCTGACATACATGGCAATTGTGAGGCTTCGGATTACAAAATGAGCTAAATGAGTAAATGTTCGGGCGGATGGGGCTCAGAGGGTAGAGCTGTTGTCTACTACCCGGAAGGTCAGTGGTTCGATCCCCGGCTCCCCCATGTCGAAGTATCCTTGGTCAATATACTGAACCCTAAATTGTTCCTGAGGCTCTGCCATTAGTGTATGAATATATGCGAACGAAAGGTGGTGGGCGTAGCCGCCGTGACCTCACCTGTTGGTTTGTGACGTAGCGTTTTGAAGCCTCCAGTTTGAGAAGGGTCCAGCTGTGATGGAAGTTGACGGGAGTTGAACTTCATCCCAGAAGACACCGCGCACAAAACGCAATGGTGTTTATCTCTGCCGCTCGGCCGACGCAGAGACGTTAAATAAGATAGGATGTACATTATGCTTTAATATTTACTATACTATAAATATAGCATAGTGTAATACGTTCATTATGCTATAATTATATAGTATACTAAACCGTAATTCCCTGTTATTGTTTGGAGAGATGAATCACGTGACCGTGTGGTCAAAGAGTGTCTAAACACTTTTTTAACGGCCTTTAAACCGCAACATACAGTCTGACTTTCAAAAGGTGGCATAGGAAAACAAAATAAAAAGGCAGCTGGAGGTTTTTAAATTGAATCTTGAGTTAATCTCATAAAAAGAGCTTTAGCCAAAACCACTCCTTGTCACACTATGTGCCTGTCTGCGCTGCTTAGTTTAGCTCTCTGTGAGTTTTGTTTATTTGGTCAGTTCTGTATCTGTTTAGCTTTGTTTATTATTTTATTCATCCGCGGGTTTTAGTTTACTTAGTATCTGTTTTCATGGGTTTGGTTTTGGGTTCTGTGTTTCTATAAGTTTGTCATGTTTAGGGTTTTGTAGTTTTATTTAGTCTTTTGTTCATTCGCACGTTTAAGTTTTCTTAGTATTTGTCTTGTCTTTCATCTTAGTTCTTAGTCTTATGGTTTAGTTTATGTTCAGTGTTTTTCCTGGTCTGTGTACTTCTGTGTTTTCTTTTGGTCTGTGTCTTAGTCCTTAGTCTCATGTCTCCATGTTGGTGTATTCCTGATCCCCGTTTGGTCCGGTCTCTGTTCCCTGCCCTGGTTTTGTTCTGTTATGCAGTTGTTTCCCGTTCTCCTGTTTTACTTTGTGTTTTCCATATGCTTTACTTCCCGTTTTGTTTTGTAATGTTCTGTTCTCTTGTGTCGTTGTCTAGCTTTGAGTACCTGATGGGTTTCAGCTGTGCTTCCCTCCCTGCTCTGTGTATATATTGTCCTCAGTTGTGTTTGTGTTTGTGACGTCCTTGTCAATGATTGTTCTGTCCTGTACCTTAGTTCCTGGATTACCTTTGCATCTGTTTGGATCTCAGTTCTGGCCGTCGCCATGTTTTTTTTTTGGAAACAGACGTGACCATATTTAGACGAGAGGGTGGAGCTAGCTAACTTGGTTAGCAAAGTGCATCTGTAATTCACTTTAACTGTGATATTAGCTGGGATGCTAATTTTGGCTAGCGACAAACAGGCTTAAAACTAAACGTACTTACTGAAAAATGACCAGACGATTCCTGATGAGCTTTTTCAGCGGCGCTGGTTAAACAGAGCAGCAGATACGAGTCGCCTCTACAGAGAGCCTAAGTGACTCGCTTCCGGCCCATGGGGCCTTATTTCAGGAAAAATAGTAGCGTAGTCAACGGTGAGAGATTTTTTGATCTTGTTTGAACTGAATCAAACACATGATGTTTGTCAATTTAAAAGATAATTTTGTCAGGAAAGTTGCAGTTTTTTGTAAAACAGTAAAGTAACATGTCGTTTTGTGTGAAAACCACTGAATGAGCTACATCTCTCGTCTTGCACAATATACGTCACCAACATGTGACCGTGGTAATGCTAGCTAACGTTCATTGCTTGGTTGCTGCTAATTAGAACTTAGCTAGGTTCCACGCAGAAATATATCTCACCTGATGTGTTTAATCCAACGTCCTTTTTTCGCATCATCTTTTCATGTAAGTTTTTTTGACGTTAGCTTCAGTAACTTAGCTTCTGTCATTGAGAGAAAAAGTTACGATGTCAATTACGCGACTTTTGGGTTTGCGTTCTTTGTAATTATGTATTTTAACAGTTTTACATCAAACATGCATCATGTTTATTTTAAATTGACCATCATCATGTGTGATTCAGAGCACAATTCAAACGTGATAAAAAAATTAGTTGTCTCTTGCTGTTGACTACAGTACATATTTTAAGGTCCCATGGTGGTCCACCGGTAGGGGAGGGACTTAGGCTCTCTATCCTGATTGACAGGTCGCCATGGTAGCGACTTGTCAATCAGCTTGTAGCCCCGCCCTAAAGCCTCCCCTGCTTCCTGGTCTCTGTTCCTCTAAACGGGACCATAATTTACTAAATGAACATCATGCTGTGTTGAAGAAGACTTGAAACTAGCGACTGAGACCATAAACTCATCAGGAAAGTGTTTACTGAGGGAATAAATCAGCTGACAAGTAGAAACATTTTCTCAGAGACTTCTATACAATCACACTTCTTTCTGCAGCCGCTGGAGAGGACGCAGCTTTAAGGAGCTTCACTTTCAGACCCGGAGGTTTCTGCTTGGTGTGAATGTGACGTAATGTAAAGAGCTGTTATACAAGTACAGAGCATTTACTAACATTTATACAACTTAATACTTTCAGGGTGGAGTCTGGTATCGTCGCTGACATCGAGGTCGACAGTTTGCTGCCGTCTGACTGCGACACATTCTACCAGATCAAGAGTCAGCCGATCGGCATCAGGTAACGCTTGCAGCCTCCTTGAGCACCTGAAAACCTCAGACAGTTTTAGTATTTACATGTTGTGTTTCGGTGCTGCAGCTGCTGGAATTAATAAAAGTTATTAAACTATAAATGCACACTGAACACACCTGAACTGGTTCCTGCCTCTGCTTATTTTATTTCTTTAAAGGCTTAAGAGACAAAAACAAGTTCATATCTGCAGAATATTAGTCCTCTAATTATCCGACTGATGCACACTGGAGGATAATTGGGTGACGATCAGTTCCAGGAAACACTGACCAATCAATGAGCTGCTCCTGGCTGAAAACTGACTGGATATAATGATGATGATGTCATTAACTTGACTAACAGGAAGCTGTCTCTCTCTTTAGTACATCAGTAGCAGCTCCCTCCTCTTCGTCATCTTCATCCTCACTGCCGTCAACCATGTCCTCCAGGTAAACACACACCTGCCCATCATTATGTCTCAGTCTTTCCCTCTCTCTGTCCTCCGGCTGGACCGCAGTCAGAAACGCTGATGTTAACCTGCTCCTCCTCCTCTCCTCCTCTGTTCTCCTCCTGCAGGGTTTTGATGCGTCAGGATCTGATGCGTCAGCAGGCTCGGGAGGAGGAGCAGAAGGAGGCGCAGCAGCAGCTCCTTCGCTCGGCCGACTTGTCCTCCCCCATCTCTGTCTCTTTGTCCTCCTCCTGCAGACCTCCTGCTCAGGTCCCTGTGGAGGTGCTGAAGGTACGAGGAGGAGGAGGGAGTTAATTAAGGGACAGAAGTGAAGATGAGTCTTCAAAAAAGTTTCTAAAAAACTTTATTTTTAGTAATCCGATGTTCAGAGAGTGGAAGTCATGACAGGGCGTTAAATAAATAAATACAGTGCTTGAAGTGTGGCGGTACGCAGTAATGTTACCTCGACATTTTACTCTTTGGCATACTGGGACTTCCCCCAAGCTGCCGGTCTCCTCTGCCCTCTCCATTTCAGGTTCTCTGAGCGCTACGTGACGCTCACTTGTTCCCGTTCTCCGTTCCCGCCTGCCTGCTAATCTCTGTCAGCTCGTCAATGTCAGTTTTAGTAAACCGACCAACCACAGCACAGATAGGTGTCATTTACACCGAGGACGCTGGGGACAGGACAGAGTCAGAATGTCTCCCATCACTTTTTGAAAGCTTTTGTTAAATATGTTCTGGAAAAACAGCAACAAGAAATGTTAAATAACAAATGAAACGATGCACAATAAGAAAACGCGCAATGCAACTGAAATATAGAAGAAAGAAATGTGCATTGTCCAAAAAAGTAACTTAAGCTAAAACGAGCTGCTGATTACTGCATTATATTCCATTATATTTATATATTTATAAATTGTCACCTGCCAGCTCAATTTTGTTTCCCTCCATATAAATAAAGACATTTCCACCATAAATCGGTGCATAAAATGTCTCCAGATTGCAGGAAAGTAAGTATTTAATGCTCAAAGTCTTCGGCGGGAGGACCCCCAGACCCCCCACTGATATACTTCAGCATTGAATATTTATTCAAAATACTGTTAAAATATCTTCTCGTCTTGTTTTCGTGACCCGAGTGTGTCGTCACACCCCTAATCTGAGCCCTTATGTCTCCACCACTTCACAACACAAAGTGATGCCCCAATCAGCAAACTGTTGAAATGTTGAACTCGTTGTATGAATGCATGAATGTTTATGATTATGATAAGTTAGTACTGAGCAATAGCAAATCAGAGAATGACCGCCATGTAGAGCATTTTTCTTGCACAATAATTTAATGAATGACAACAACCCACAAAAATTAAACGACTGTTTTGTCCAACTGGAATTAATATTGTAGCCTATACTATTTTCTGAAATTACAATAATTACACTAAAATTAGCCCTAATCGAACCTTATGGAAGGGAGTACTGGCACCTAATCTTTCCCACTTCAAGCACTGAAGAAATATATTTAAATAAATCCGTACTGAATCCTTCTCCCTGTGTGTCTCTCAGGTGCAGACTCACCTGGAGAACCCGACCAGGTATCACATCCAGCAGGCTCAAAGGCAGCAGGTGCGTCAGTATCTCTCCACTACGCAGACCGCCATCACCACCAAGACAACCAATGAGAAGCCAGCTGGACCGTCACCAGGCCACTCCCCCTACCTGGGCTCTGCCCCCAAACTACAGCCTGCAGACAACAGCAACAAAATACAGGTAAATACATATACATTTTAAATATGTACATAATACTGTGTGTGTGTGTGTGTGTGTGTGTGTCACACACACATATATATATACAGTGAGGAAAATAAGTATTTGAACACCCTGCTATTCTGCAAGTTCTCCCACTTAGAAATCATGGAGGGGTCTGAAATTGTCATCGTAGGTGCATGTCCACTGTGAGAGACATAATCTAAAAAAAATACTCCAGAAATCACAATGTATGATTTTTTAACTATTTATTTGTATGATACAGCTGCAAATAAGTATTTGAACACCTGAGAAAATCAATGTTAATATTTGGTACAGTAGCCTTTGTTTGCAATTACAGAGGTCAAACGTTTCCTGTAGTTTTTCACCAGGTTTGCACTGCAGGAGGGATTTTGGCCCACTCCTCCACACAGATCTTCTCTAGATCAGTCAGGTTTCTGGGCTGTCGCTGAGAAACACGGAGTTTGAGCTCCCTCCAAAGATTCTCTATTGGGTTTAGGTCTGGAGACTGGCTAGGCCACGCCAGAACCTTGATATGCTTCTTACAGAGCCGCTCCTTGGTTATCCTGGCTGTGTGCTTCGGGTCATTGTCATGTTGGAAGACCCGGCCTCGACCCATCTTCAATGCTCTAACTGAGGGAAGGAGGTTGTTCCCCAAAATCTGGCAATCCATGGCCCCGGTCCTCCTCTCCTTAATACAGTGCAGTCGCCCTGTCCCATGTGCAGAAACACACCCCCAAAGCATGATGCTACCACCCCCATGCTTCACAGGAGGGATGGTGTTCTTGGGATGGTACTCATCATTCTTCTTCCTCCAAACACAGTTAGTGGAATTATGACCAAAAACTTCTATTTTGGTCTCATCTGACCACATGACTTTCTCCCATAACTCCTCTGGATCATCCAAATGGTCGTTGGCAAACTGAAGACGGGCCTTGACATGTGCTGGTTTAAGCAGGGGAACCTTCCGTGCCATGCGTGATTTCAAACCATGACGTCTTAGTGTATTACCAACAGTAACCTTGGAAACGGTGGTCCCAGCTCTTTCCAGGTCATTGACCAGCTCCTCCCGTGTAGTTCTGGGCTGATTTCTCACCTTTCTTAGGATCATTGAGACCCCACGAGGTGAGATCTTGCATGGAGCCCCAGTCCGAGGGAGATTGACAGTCATGTTTAGCTTCTTCCATTTTCTAATGATTGCTCCAACAGTGGACCTTTTTTCACCAAGCTGCTTGGCAATTTCCCCGTAGCCCTTTCCAGCCTTGTGGAGATGTACAATTTTGTCTCTAGTGTCTTTGGACAGCTCTTTGGTCTTGGCCATGTTAGTAGTTGGATTCTTACTGATTGTATGGGGTGGACAGGTGTCTTTATGCAGCTATCGACCTCAAACAGGTGCATCTAATTCAGGATAATAATGGAGTGGAGGTGGACATTTTGAAGGCAGACTAACAGGTCTTTGAGAGTCAGAATTCTAGCTGATAGACACGTGTTCAAATACTTATTTGCAGCTGTATCATACAAATAAATAGTTAAAAAATCATACATTGTGATTTCTGGATTTTTTTTTTAGATTATGTCTCTCACAGTGGACATGCACCTACGATGACAATTTCAGGCCCTCCATGATTTCTAAGTGGGAGAACTTGCAAAATAGCAGGGTGTTCAAATACTTATTTTCCTCACTGTATGTATATATATATATATATATATATATATATATATATATATATATAAACACACCCTCCTGATATTTAAACTTCATCAGTTTTTAGTGAACTCAGCAGCTTCAGTTCTTCCTGCCTGGGTCACAGTTTGCTGAATCAGCTGTTGGATGATCTGAGTCAGATGAATCAAACAGGTTTTTCTGTTTCATGCAACTGAACAGACAGAATCTGTCTGTTTAAACATGTAACACCTCACACACACCAGCAGCTGTTTCATACATTTGATTTTAAACAGCCTTATATTTGTTATAATTGTGCAACAAACACACACAGGAAACATCAGGGTGTCCCAAATCCACCGAAACACAAACCTCCAGGGGTTAATTTGTTCATACTGAGAAAACACAGACCCTTAATGTGTTCTGCACATGACCATGGGACGACCACATCAACACAGCCGGTAACTAGTCATGTTACATGTACCTCAGCGACTCACCTGAACAGATGTAAGGGGTCACATGACAACATTTGACATCAGAATAGATGTGGATCAGTCCAGAGAGCGGGCCAATCCACGGTGACGTGATGAAACAGCAGGATTTAATGTATAACCATGATTAACTCAATTAAAGTTGTGTTAATAATGTTATGTATGTGTGTGTTGTCTTAAGCTGTTCTAAACCAATTGACCCCTGTGGGGGGTTTGGTTGTTGACGTTTAAGTTGATCTGTGATTGGTTTATTCAGCTGGAAGAGACAGTCATTGATGACATCATCAGCCTGGAATCGAGTCTAAATGACGAGTTGGTGACGCTGATCGACTCTGGACTGCAGTTCGCCAACACGGTAACACACACACAGAAAACACACAGGAAATGCACAGATTAAATAAGTAAACGCAAAGCAAATGCACAAGAAACAGGAAATGCACATATAGCACGCAGGAAATGCACATATAACAAAAAGTAAACAAAGCAAATGAACAGGAAACACAGGGAATTCACATATAGCACACAGGAAATGCACTGATAACAAAAAGTAAACACAAAGCAAACGCACAGGAAACACAGGAAATGCACTGATAACAAAAAGTAAACACAAAGCAAACGCACAGGAAACACAGGAAATGCACATATAGCATGCAGGAAATGTACATATAGCACACAGGAAATGCACTGATAACAAAAAGGAAACACAAAGCATATGCACAGGAAACACAGGAAATGCACATATAGCACGCAGGAAATGCACATATAACAAAAAGTAAACAAAGCAAATGCACAGGAAACACAGGAAATTCACATATAGCACACAGGAAAAGCACTGATAACAAAAAGTAAACACAAAGCAAACGCACAGGAAACATAGGAAATGCACATATAACAAAAAGTAAACAAATCAAATGAACAGGAAACACAGGAAATGCACTGATAACAAAAAGTAAACAAAGCAAATGAACAGGAAACACAGGGAAGTCACATATAGCACACAGGAAATGCACTGATAACAAAAAGGAAACACAAAGCAAATGTACAGAAAACACAGGAAATGCACTGATAACAAAAAGGAAACACAAAGCATATGCACAGGAAACACAGGAAATGCACATATAGCACGCAGGAAATGCACATATAACAAAAAGTAAACAAAGCAAATGAACAGGAAACACAGGGAAGTCACATATAGCACACAGGAAAAGCACTGATAACAAAAAGTAAACACAAAGCAAACGCACAGGAAACATAGGAAATGCACATATAACAAAAAGTAAACAAATCAAATGAACAGGAAACACAGGAAATGCACTGATAACAAAAAGTAAACAAAGCAAATGAACAGGAAACACAGGGAAGTCACATATAGCACACAGGAAATGCACTGATAACAAAAAGGAAACACAAAGCAAATGTACAGGAAACACAGGAAATGCACTGATAACAAAAAGGAAACACAAAGCATATGCACAGGAAACACAGGAAATGCACATATAGCACGCAGGAAATGCACATATAACAAAAAGTAAACAAAGCAAATGAACAGGAAACACAGGGAAGTCACATATAGCACACAGGAAATGCACTGATAACAAAAAGGAAACACAAAGCAAATGTACAGGAAACACAGGAAATGCACTGATAACAAAAAGGAAACACAAAGCATATGCACAGGAAACACAGGAAATGCACATATAGCACGCAGGAAATGCACATATAACAAAAAGTAAACAAAGCAAATGCACAGGAAACACAGGAAATTCACATACAGCACACAGGAAAAGCACTGATAACAAAAAGTAAACACAAAGCAAACGCACAGGAAACATAGGAAATGCACATATAACAAAAAGTAAACAAAGCAAATGAACAGGAAACACAGGAAATGCACATAAAGCACGCAGGAAATGTACATATAGCACACAGGAAATGCACTGATAACAAAAAGGAAACACAAAGCATATGCACAGGAAACACAGGGAATTCACATATAGCACACAGGAAATGCACATATGGCACAGAGGAAATGCACTGATAACAAAAAGTAAACACAAAGCAAACGCACAGGAAACACAGAAAATGCACATATAGCATGCAGGAAATGTACATATAGCACACAGGAAATGCACTGATAACAAAAAGGAAACACAAAGCATATGCACAGGAAACACAGGAAATGCACATATAGCACGCAGGAAATGCACATATAACAAAAAGTAAACAAAGCAAATGCACAGGAAACACAGGAAATTCACATATAGCACACAGGAAAAGCACTGATAACAAAAAGTAAACACAAAGCAAACGCACAGGAAACACAGGAAATGCACATATAGCACGCAGGAAATGTACATATAGCACACAGGAAATGCACTGATAACAAAAAGTAAACACAAAGCAAACGCACAGGAAACACAGGAAATGCACATATAGCACACTGGAAATGTACATATAGCACACAGGAAATGCACTGATAACAAAAAGTAAACACAAAGCAAACGCACAGGAAACACAGGAAATGCACATATAGCACGCAGGAAATGCACATATAACAAAAAGTAAACACAGCAAATGCACAGGAAACACAGGGATTTCACATATAGCACACAGGAAATGCACATATGGCACAGAGGAAATGCACTGATAACAAAAAGTAAACACAAAGCAAACACACAGGAAACACAGAAAATGCACATATAGCACGCAGGAAATGCACATATAGCACACAGGAAATGCACATATAACAAAAAGTAAACACAAAGCAAATGCACAGGAAACACAGGAAATGCACATATAGCACACTGGAAATGTACATATAGCACACAGGAAATGCACTGATAACAAAAAGTAAACACAAAGCAAACGCACAGGAAACACAGAAAATGCACATATAGCACGCAGGAAATGTACATATAGCACACAGGAAATGCACTGATAACAAAAAGTAAACACAAAGCAAATGCACAGGAAACACAGGAAATGCACATATAGCACACTGGAAATGTACATATAGCACACAGGAAATGCACTGATAACAAAAAGTAAACACAAAGCAAACGCACAGGAAACACAGGAAATGCACATATAGCACACAGGAAATGCACAGATAACAAAAAGTAAACACAGCAAATGCACAGGAAACACAGGAAATGCACATATAGCACACAGGAAATGCACATATGGCACAGAGGAAATGCACTGATAACAAAAAGTAAACACAAAGCAAACGCACAGGAAACATAGGAAATGCACATATAGCACGCAGGAAATGTACATATAGCACACAGGAAATGCACATATAACAAAAAGGAAACACAAAGCATATGCACAGGAAACACAGGAAATGCACATATAGGACACTGGAAATGCAAAGATAACAAAAAGTAAACACAAAGCATATGCACAGGAAACACAGGAAATGCACATATAGAACGCAGGAAATGCACTGATAACAAAAAGGAAACACAAAGCAAATGCACAGGAAACACAGGAAATGCACATATAGCACACTGGAAATGTACATATAGCACACAGGAAATGCACTGATAACAAAAAGTAAACACAAAGCAAACGCACAGGAAACACAGGAAATGCACATATAGCACGCAGGAAATGCACATATAACAAAAAGTAAACACAGCAAATGCACAGGAAACACAGGGATTTCACATATAGCACACAGGAAATGCACATATGGCACAGAGGAAATGCACTGATAACAAAAAGTAAACACAAAGCAAACGCACAGGAAACATAGGAAATGCACATATAGCACGCAGGAAATGTACATATAGCACACAGGAAATGCACTGATAACAAAAAGGAAACACAAAGCATATGCACAGGAAACACAGGAAATGCACATATAGCACGCAGGAAATGCACATATAACAAAAAGTAAACACAAAGCAAATGCACAGGAAACACAGGAAATGCACATATAGGACACTGGAAATGCAAAGATAACAAAAAGGAAACACAAAGCATATGCACAGGAAACACAGGAAATGCACATATAGCACGCAGGAAATGCACATATAACAAAAAGTAAACAAAGCAAATGCACAGGAAACACAGGGAAGTCACATATAGCACACAGGAAATGTACTGATAACAAAAAGGAAACACAAAGCAAAGACACAGGAAACACAGAAAATGCACATATAACAAAAAGTAAACAAAGCATATGCACAGGAAACACAGGAAATGCACATATAGCACGCAGGAAATGCAAAGATAACAAAAAGTAAACAAAGCAAATGCACAGGAAACACAGGGAATTCACATATAACACACAGGAAATGCAAAGATAACAAAAAGTAAACACAAAGCATATGCACAGGAAACACAGGAAATGCACATATAGCGCGCAGGAAATGCAAAGATAACAAAAAGTAAACAAAGCAAATGCACAGGAAACACAGGAATTCACATATAACATACAGGAAATGCAAAGATAACAAAAAGTAAACACAAAGCATATGCACAGGAAACACAGGAAATGCACATATAACACACAGGAAATGCATATATGGCACAGAGGAAATGCACTGATAACAAAAAGTAAACACAAAGCAAACGCACAGGAAACATAGGAAATGCACATATAGCACGCAGGAAATGCACATATAACAAAAAGGAAACACAAAGCATATGCACAGGAAACACAGGAAATGCACATATAGCACACTGGAAATGCACTGATAACAAAAAGGAAACACAAAGCATATGCACAGGAAACACAGGAAATGCACTGATAACAAAAAGCAAACACAAAGCATATGCACAGGAAACACAGGAAATGCACTGATAACAAAAAGCAAACACAAAGCAAACGCACAGGAAACACAGGAAATGCACAGAATCTTGCGTGATCAAACATGATTTCCGACAAACATGGAGGCAGACTGTTGCTGTCAGCTGGTTGACCTTGTGTGTGCTATGTTTTGCACAGAAAAACATAAGTAGAGAATCAAACTGTGGATGAAGTCGAGGATGAGAAGAGGGAATCAGCAGGTTTACAATTACATTTTATAGAGCAGAAACACAACACGCTGGGGACGCTTCCTGCTCAGCTCGCTCTCATTGGATGCTGCAGATTTCTGATCAGAGGCTGACCAATTTCAAACATGTTTGATATTTAAATCTTTGATATTGAAATTGTAAATTTCGTATTTCAAAATCTGGCATCATCCGGTCCAGTCGTCGACCTTAAGATTCTGTGTGAAACACTACAGGAACATTTGAGCCGACCAGCCTCAAATCGGGAATGCCCGAACGATGGTAACAAAACCGTGGCGCAGCCTGGACTATCCGTGGTAAAAGTCCTGGCTTTGACCCGTTTGACCACCCCATCCTGCGCCCTTACATGGTCTTTGTCGCTATTTATAATACATCTTCTGACTTCCTTCGTTGCTTCAGTCGCAAAGCCTCTAGTGGTCGCAAAAACGTGAACATGGGTTTTTATAAGCTGTAAAATAATTCAATCAGAGCAGGACGGGCTGCTCTGATCTGATCCACAGCTCCTGAATCTAAAACTTTATTTGCCTCCTTTTTTATGAAATTGTGAACAAAATGACAAAGAGAGTGAAAATCTGTCTGATCAGAATATCAGCTCAGTTTCCCAGACTTGTTCCTCGTTTCTGCTGCTGTGGGCGGAGCCTTTGTGTGTGTGTGTGTGTGTGTGTGTGTGTGTGTGTGTGTGTTAGTGTTAGCATCAGTTTGTGTGTGGTTTTGTGTGTGTGTGGGTGTGTCAGCCAGATAAAAACCTCACTGGGAGGTTTTTTTGTTTCTTAAAGAGACGTTTCCTCATTTTTCAACAGTCGTCCGAACAGAAAGAGGAAGAGAAGCTGCTGCTGTGTGTGTGTTAGTGTGTATACCTTTATATAAATGTGTGTGTGTTGGTGTGAAATCAGAGAAGATGAGGATTTTAGTTTTACTGCCGGATCATGAGAAGAGGAGGATTAAATCAGAGGTAAAGAGTTTCTCTTGCTCCTTCAGGTCAGTTTGACCTCTGACCTCTAACCAGCTCTGTTCTGCAGAATAACTGTAACGTTACTACAGAGAGAGAACAGAGAAAATATAGTATTTATAAAGTATTTAGATCCTTCAGTTAAGTTAACTGATTAATTATCAACAAAAATGTAAAGAATCAAAAGTAAAAATACTGATAGAGCAGATTATTATTACAATTTAATGTTGATTTAGACACAGTTGGACTTTATTCTGCAACAATGCATCATGTTTTAAACACCGTACATGACTTTGACTGCAGATAAGTGATGTGGAGTAGAAGAAGAAAGTGTCAGGTTGGCCCTAAAGGGCCATGCTGTTGTTTTAGAGCACATTTATTTCAGTCTGAACCTGAAGAAAGAAAACATTCTGCTGATTGGTTATCCTGTCATAGGTGAAGAAGTGGGAACCAATGGCTGCTCAGTAAGAAAGTACATGAAAGAACACACAGATGTCTACCTGTTACAGGTGTGTGTGTGTGTGTGTGTGTGTGTGTGTTGTTATCATTTCGTCTGGTTTCCTGTTCGATCAGCAAATTCCAGTTTTTCTGGAGGAGCATGACTTCCGATCAGAGCTGTTAAATAAACAACAGATCTTACTGACAATAAAAACCTTTTTATTATCTTGTTGCTGCTGTTTAAATTCTCCTCAGACGCAAAAAAAAAAAGCACTGTAGAATGTTCTGGGTGTACACGTGTGTGTAAATAACTGTAATATATTGTTTTTTTTATTTATTTATTATTATAAGTTACCATAGTTTAATACACTTTTAATTATCTGTTAATTGTGTATGTAGCATGAAGGGGCTACACACTTTCATTTTGTTATCAAACCTTGTGTAATCATGATAACTAAACGACCTTGATCCTCGATCAATATCTCACAGTCCATTAGAGCTCAAAGTGCTACGCTGACACTAATAAAGGAAATGATCATTATGAGAAACAAATGGACAAACAGGATCAATACTGAACTTAGACATGAAATTTAGAAGCTTAAGAAATTAAAAAGTTGATAAAATTTGGACATTTACAAGAATACAGAAACAATAATAAGCTATTGACTGATCGCTGACACAGCAACACAATGCAGGTTTCACATAGATGTAAATGCTCCGTATTTGTATTTGCTCCTAACCAAGCGGGAACCTCCAGGTCTGAAAAGAGCCTTAAACCTGCGTCCTCTCTAACAGCCAGCAGGGGGCGACTCCAGCGGCTGCAGGAAGAAGTGTGATTGTATAGAAGTCTGTGAGAAAATGTTTCTACTTGTCAGCTGATTTATTCCCTCAGTAAACACTTTCCTGATGAGTTTCTGGTCTCAGTCGCTAGTTTCAAGTCTTCTTCAACACAGCGTGATGTTCATTTAGTAAATTATGGTCCCATTTAGAGGAACAGAGACCAGGAAGCAGGGGAGGCTTTAGGGCGGGGCTACAAGATGATTGACAAGTCGTTACCATGGCGACCTGTCAGGATAGAGGCGACTCGTATCTGCCACTCTGTGCACATTTAACCAGCGCCGCTGAAAAAGCTCATCAGGAGTCGGCTGGTCATTTTTCAGTTGGTATACAGTATCACAGTTAAAGTGAATTAACTAGCTCCGCCCTCTCGTCCAAATATGGTCACGTCCGGTTCCAACAAAACAAGATGGCGACGGTCAAAATGCTAAATTGGAGGCTTCAAAACGGTAGTCCACAAACCAGCGGGGGATGTGACTAACTCATAAATGTCTTAAGACCTGAGGCTCTTTCAGAACTCACTGAGATGTTTGTGTATATATATAAATATTGGATGAAATTCAGAGCCTCTATTACACCCACGGCCTCTTATTTATTTATATATATATAAGGGAGAAACTGACAAGAGTTCAGACACATTTACAAAATTTTACCTGAAACACGATGACGTAGCTTGAGCATGTTAACATTCATTGCTCTGTTTGATAATAACGATGGATGCATGAAGGTGAAGATGGTTCGACTGGCTGGTTGAGTCAGAGTCAATATTATATATTGTAAGAAGTTAAAGACGCTGAGGTTCTGCAGCCTGATTCAAACTGACTCGCTCTCTGGTTTAAAACATTGGTTCAGCAGCAGAGAGGAGAAGCTGCTGAGGCCTGAAACACTGAGAAATAAATTTATTTTAATACTTGAGAGTTTGAATTCAGGACTTTTGTTTCTCAGATGTTAGAATTCTGTTTTAGTGGCTTCTGTCTCTTAAAGTACCTCTGACCTCTGTGCAGCCGGTCAGAGATGCTGGGACATGCAGAGGGTTAGACAAGCTGAAGGTCGTTTATGAGCAGCAGAGAGAGAGCGAGGTAGGTCATCCTGCAGCCAATCACAGCGCAGCATCCTCTGGATATCCTCTTCAACCGTCTGATTGGTCACTTTCTTTGATTCTGTGCTCTGATTGGTCCATTCCAGCTGCCAGTGTCGGGGAACATGCTGGACGTGTACGGTGGCAGCGGAGGGATGGCCACGCCCACCATCAACGTTAGCAACAGTTGCCCCGCTGACCTGCACGCCGTCAAGACGGAGCTGAGCGGTGGGTGTCTCTCAGACTTCTACACTCGTGAGGAACTTTTTATTAACATCATTCACATTTTGAACTTTGAATATTTGTGGTATTTGTTTTGATTTTTTTGTTCAGGAATTAAACTCTTCACTTTTTCCCCCCGACTCCGATTATACTTTTTATATCCGGTTCTTATGGAGTTTTGGTTCATTCACCACTGAGCTTCTCAGCGCTCGGTGACCTTCATCCTCTTCCTCCTCGCTCATGTACCCGCCTTCGCCTTTACTAGAGGGGCGTCTCTGGGGACTCGTCTCTTATGGTGCTTTCAGACCAAAAATGAAGCGAGCGTTTGGGGAGCGATCTGCTTAAACAACGTGTATAAATACGCTACCAGTCAAAAGTTTTAGAACTCCGCCATGTTTGTAGTTCTTTTATAAATGTCGGTTCCAAAGTAAGCAGGAAAGTGGTCAAAGTTAAAAACACCGTTTACGTCACCAAAACAGACATTTTCAGATCTAAAATGAACAATTTAATGGACATTAAAGGAGTTTTGTTCATTATTTCACTGTCACCAGCTGCTCTGTCTTCCTTCATTAACATTATATATAATAAATCTAATATAGTACAAATAAAGCTGAATGTGTTTTAACAGGCTGTTCCAAGGTGTTTATTGTAGAAATGTGTCTCATTTCCTTCCACTGCTGCAGGCAAAGACAAAGTTTAGGTCAGAAAAACTGAGAAATAATGTAAATTTCAGAAATTTACAATTTTGAGGGATCAATAATGAGTTAACAACTTCAAATTATTCTGCAGCAGTGTGGGAGTGAACAAAACACCTTCATCTAATTGTTACTAACACCTGAAAATGTGTTTTGGTGACGTAAACGTTAACTTTGGCAGTTTGCCGCTAACTTTGGAACCATTTTGTACCAACTTATAATGATCAGAGTCTGTTTGCAGCCTGTTTGAACACAGTCCTGTCTCTACTTGTTTGTCAGTATTTATAACACGCAGTCTAGTAATTCTGATGAAGCTGATTAATTCTGATGTGACACCAGAGACTCATGTCAGTCACCAGGATTAGGATTAGTGTGCCCGGAGCTGCAGCCGTTGAAGTTGTAAATCTGTTCTTCTTCAGTTTGATGAGTCAACATCCCGACTTCCTCTGAACACCCGTATTTTCCCACATCATCAGTTCCCACTTCCTGTTCAGTCAACATGTTCTCCAAACTCATTCAGCTGTTTCTCTCTGTTCCAGCTTACAGAACAGACCACTTTTAAGTTTTTGTTTTACGTAACTGAGCAACTTTTAAACCGTCTGTTTTAAATCTTTCATGTTCGTCAGAAAACCAAACAGTCCCAGTAAGAAAGTCCCAAGAAAATGCGTGATGATAAAGATAGAGAAAAATAGAAATGCATGGGAAAAAATAGAATATTGTCAATATTTTAAACGACCCCCAACATTTCACAGATAATGTTTTCAGTGGAACTCCTGTCTTTTTAAGAGGAGCACAGCTGTAGTTTGCACCCTGTCTACAATCTCAACCATCAAACTCCAGCAACAGGAAATAACTTTACTCTTTTACTCACAGATTTATTTATCTGCTGCCGAAATGTTTCACGGTGTTGGTGAATTATTAAAAAACAAATGACCACTTAATTTCAGGTTAAAATGTGTGCGTGACTGAGATTGTAACGGGTATAATTATTAATGGGTGCGTTATATTCCTGCCTTACAGCAAAAAACTAAACATTACTATAATTGCATTACTTTTGTAACGTGTTACTCCAAACACTGGATTGGAACCAGTTACAAAAGACAAGTTTAGTTTCTGTTCCCACATTCAAAAACAAAATCTCCAACATATTTCCGTAAACCTGGAACTACTTCCTGTGACGACAGTTCATGAAACTGCTTCTTCTTCTCTTTGTCCCCTGGTGTTTTGCTCTTTATGTTGTGCTTTCTTCTGTGTTTAAATGAAGTCTGTTGTTTTTATGTTTGCTGCTTAATACCTGCTGTCCTGTGTGTTTGCTTGACGCTTGTTGGAATTATGTTGTTGATCTATGGTGTGCTTCTTCTTTGATTAAATCCCTACGTATGGAGATGGATCAGTGAACATGTGAGCTCAGGAGCAGATACGTTTTTTTAATGTCGTGCGTGAAAGTTCGTGTTTTTAACTTGTTTGATTTCGTTTAGAAGTTTCAGAAAAAGCCAGTAAGTGTGCCTTCATAAAGTCGTATTGAAACATCTGAAACAGCAGGAAGCTCTTTCAGTCTCACAGAAATTTTTGTTACAAAATGTTCCCACTTCCCAAAAAATATCCTCACATTTCAAAACGTCCCCGCAGCCCTGTGCGGAGTCACGGCAGCAGTGAAATGTCTGTACGAGGTTTGTGTTAAAGCAGAGAGCTCATGTTGTTGTTGTTGTTGTTGCAGATGTGGAGGCCAAAGCTCTGATCAAAGACAGACAAAAGAAAGACAACCACAATCTCAGTGAGTACTACAGTATTACTTCACTCATAACTGCCCAGTGATACTGGATTTAAAGGCTTGAGCTCTGTAGCAGGGCTGCAACTAACGATTATTTTTGATTCATTGTTTAGTCTATAAAATGTCAGAAAATTGTCTATCTCCCTGTGAGATGGAGTAGAAGTAGAAAATGACATGAAAAGAAATACTCAAGTACAAGTACCTCTAATTTGTACCTAAGTACACTACTTGAGAAAATGTACTTCATCACTCTCCATCACTGGAGAGAATCAGATCAAATATTAAAACTGTCATGGTGATTTGATTTTTGATGCTGCTGACAGTTTGATTTCTGTTTTTCAATCTCTGATTTCATCACTTTTCTCTTCCCGACGATCGGCTGCGGTTTCATTGCAACATTTTCCTGCAGGGTTCGAGTGAAACGTGAATGAACAGGAGCTCAGTCTTTAACCTGAAATAATCCTGCTGCTGCTGTGTGTGTTTCAGTTGAGAGGAGGAGAAGATTCAACATCAACGACCGGATCAAAGAACTCGGAGACCTCATCCCCAAATCCACCGACCCGTCAGTACACTCTGCATCCTCACACTGTAGTACTAATACTTTACATCAGCACACTGTCACAGTACTCGCATGTGCCACAGCACTAACTCCATCAGCTGTCGCTCCATTATTGATTGCGGTTAAGTTAACATCACTGAAACAAACACAAACATCATGATAGACATAAAAAACAGTGCTTTGAACAGAATATCAACAAGGGAACTCTTTATGATATGAATCACGATATATTGCAATACGATACATATTTCTCTACATAACTTACTGAAAATATTAAAATATAGCTGATAATATAATGTACATCACATTATAGTGAAAGGTGTTCAGTGACACAATGCTGTGCTGCCTTTACGTTGCATGCAGTCTCCACCTAGTGGTAGCTGTATTTTTAGGCCACTGGGAATTTTGAGTTTGAATTTACAATGTAAATGTAATGTACGTTGTACCCTATGCGTACCCTAAAGCGTACCCTACAGCGTAACCAAGATCATACCCTAAGCCGTATCCTACGTTGTACCCTACATTGTACCCTATGCGTACCCTACAGCGTAGACACAACGTACCCTAGAGCATACCCTACAGCATACATGACAGCGTACCCTAGGTGCATACCCTACAGCGTACATGACAGCGTACCCTAGGTGCATACCCTACAGCGTACATTAGAGCATACCTGACAGCGTACACGACAGCGTACACGACAGCGTACCCTAGAGCGTACCCAACAATGTACCCTAGAGCGTACATTAGAGCATACCTGACAGCGTACCCTAGCGCGTACACGACAGCGTACCCTAGAGCGTACCCAACAATGTACCCTACAGCGTACATTAGAGCATACCTGACAGCGTACCCTAGCGCGTACACGACAGCGTACCCTAGAGCGTACCCAACAATGTACCCCACAACGTACCCTACAACTTACCCTACAACGTACCCTACAGCGTAGACAAAATGTACCCTAGAGCATACCCTACAGCGTACATTAGAGCATACCCTACGGCATACACGACAGCGTACCCTACAGCGTACATGACAGTGTACCCTACAGTGTACACTAGAGCGTACCCTATACCGTGACGTCACTGCTCAGTGTGGTTACGTTAAACTGGAAATGTTTGGGTTTGACCTGAACATTAAACTGATATACTTGGCCTGTGATTGGTTGATCAGGGAGACGAGGTGGAACAAAGGAACCATCCTGAAGGCGTCGGTGGATTATATTCGCAAACTGCAGAAAGAGCAACAGAGAGCCCGAGAGATGGAGGAGAGACAGAGGAGGCTGGAGAACACCAACCACTCACTGCTGCTACGCATACAGGTGAGGAGGGGGAGGGGGGGACACTCTGATTGGTCCTGCTCCTCCAGGTAGGGGCAGGGTCGCATTGAGCTTTAAAACAGTTGTCTCACGGCTTTGTGGGCATTTTGATTTGGATATTGAATACTGATTGGTGCACAAAACTCTGTGACATCACCTTTCACTACCTGAGCCCCGCCTACTTGAACCTGTGAGGTCATGTGACATAACCAAAGCTGAAAGGCCGTTTGAACTCTGACTTCCTGTCTGTGTTGTGTTGCAGGAGTTGGAGCTGCAGGCTCGCCTCCACGCCTTCTCGTCCTCCTCCTCTTCACCCCTCCCCACCACCACCTCCTCCTCTTCCTCCCTGGACCCCCAGACTCTGCTCTCCCCCCAGCTGCCACACCTCTTCTCCTCCTCCTCCCCTTCCTCCTCACTGATGACACCCTCCCTGGGTCTGGACGCCCTGAGCTTCGTGGAGCTGGAAGACCCACAGGGGGCCGCCACCGTCTTCTCCCCCGACCTGATGTCCGACGTGGGGCTGACGGAGCTCCACGGCCTGGGAGACATCCTGATGGAGGAGGGGGGAGGCGGGGTGATGTCCGACCCACTGCTGTCCTGCGGCGCCTCGAAGACCAGCAGCAGGAGGAGCAGCTTCAGCATGGACGAGGACCTCTGATGACATCACCACACACACACACGGATCCTATTGGCCCAGAGCTGGAGGCAGGCCGCCGCCCAGCCGGGAGCGTTTTTACTTACTAAACTATTTTTAATCAGTGACATCTTTAAAACGCACACAAAGGTGACGTCACAGAGAACAGCGATATCCTCGGTTGAGTTCGGCGCCGTCTCATCTCAGTAATCACGAGCACAGAATCGCCAGACTGAGCAGATCGGAAGCTGATTGGCTGATGAAGAACAAACAGCTGACTGAGCTCCAGGTGTCTGCAGGTGATCAATAACTCTGCATCTGTTCAGCCAAATGTTTGAACGCGACTCGCTCCTCATCTGTTTTCAGTCAGCTGTTGTCGTTGTTATTATCCAATCAGTGACTTTCAGCAGCTGTATGCTCAACTGTGATTGATCCTCATCCCCGGCCCCACCCTCTCGTCTACATATGGTCACTTCTGGCTCCAGAAAACCAAGATGGCGACGGCCAAAATGCCAAACTCGAGGCTTCAGAACGGTAGAAGCGGCTGCGTCCACACCTGTGACTCTGCCGGCCAACTAAACATTTCATTTAAGAGATTTTACCGACAAAAAATTATGAAAAACCGCAATGAATGTGCAGAAAAAGCCTCGGCTGCTGATCTGCTGTTCACACCTGTACATAAATCTGTAATCGCTGTGCTGGAGATGTTTTACTGGAAGAGATCTGATCAGGTTCTTTTATTGTTTTCTGTTGGTTGTTTGAGCCTCAGAGGAAACGGAAGGGAAACGACCAAATTTACATTTGATGCTTTGTTTGATTGTGTGTCCTGTCAAACTCTAATGCTGTGTCTCCCTTCGGATATTTCCATGTGTGTGAGTTTTTGAGGTGGCGTACATGAACACGGCTGTTGTGCACTTACTGGAAATAACAATGGCAACATTTGACCACTTCTTCTTCTTAAATAACCGGATGGATCATCACCGCCAAATTAACTAATAAGCAAACTGATGGCTTCTATCCAACAACATACTTATGACTGCGCCACGGCTGCCAGAGCAAATCGCTGCCATTGTATTCAGTGCTTGTGCTCACACCTTGAAGCACCGCAGCGTGTCCCAGAAGTGGCGCTCTGCTCCGCTGCGCAGAGAATAGGCAGCCGGACAAGCAGCACAGAGCAGATGAGCCGGGCAGGAAGTCAGACACAGAAACGAGAGAAGAGAATCCGGTCGATTTTCAAAATAAAATACCTTGTACAGACTCCTGATCAACAATAAACCCAGTTAAAACCATGTTAGAAGCACAAAAATCAAGGACAACTTACCAAAATTCAATCTAAACAATTCAGTAAAATCAGGCTGGCAAAACGCTCTTATTCTGAAATTCTCCAAGTGGGAAATTTAGGCCTGCAGGGAACTGGGAGGAAACAGTTCACAGAGCGCTGTGATCGGTTGTAGAACACACAGAATGAAAAAGAAACAGCAAGTCAACAACATGGGGCAGGCTGAATGCTCCGCTTGTGAAACGCTTCCAGTGTGAGTTGACGCCGGGCTAAGGACGGGTCAAAACCGTGGCGCAGCTGTAACACTGCGCACACGCCGTCCGGGGTAACATTTATATGGTGCGGTTTTAACCGGAGTGACCCCTGCAGCTTCCATCCCCTTCTGCCAAGAAGTGAAGATGGCGACTTTTGCGAGCGAGAAGCGTCCAGCGTTCCTCAGCTTTTAGACGGCCAGCAGGGGGCGACTCCACCGGCTGCAGGAAGAAGTGTGATTGTATAGAAGTCTGAGAAAATTTTCTACTTCTCAGCTGATTTAATCCCTCAGTGCACACTTTCACACTTTCCTGGCCAGGAAGCAGGAGAGGCTTTAGGGCGGGGCTACAAGCTGATTGACAAGTCGCTACTATGGCGACCTGTCAATGAGGATAGAGGCGACTCGTATCCACTGCTCTGTGTACATTTAACCAGCGCAGCTGAAAAAGCTCATCAGGAATCGGCTTTATTTTATTTTAAGCCTGATTATTTGCCTAAAAAGCCCAAAATTAGCATCCCAGCTAATATAGCAGTTAACGAGAATTACAGTTGCAACTTGCTAACCTAGCTAGCTAGTGTAGGGTGACCAGACGTCCCCGTTTTCTGGGGACAGTCCCCGATTTTGGTGGCCTGTGAGCAGACAGGTGTCGTGGCGAAAAGCCGTCTGCGGTAGCGCGCGCAGCATGTTAAAGCTGTATCGCTGTATCGACTCTTTACAGCTGCTTTTATCTGGATCAAACAGACATAATGTGCAAACAGTTGTGGCCAAATGAGTGTTTGCAGTTTAAAGCGTAACCAGGCCTGACATTTACGTTATTATAGCCAATAATAGAAGCCTGTTGGTGCCGACACATTGTGTGTTTGGTAGACCTATGACTAATATCCTTGTTTATATTTGGAAAACGAAATGAAGCCAGTAACTAACATGACTTACCGCTGAGTTATATATATAAAATAAAGACAAGATCTCTTTTGCAATTATCCTTATGACTCAAAATTATTTAACTTGCTGTGTACCAACCAATCCAGTCCTTTCTACATGTTGAAATATGCATCCCTAATGCAGTATTCCACTTGCCAGAAAGAGACTTATTGACTCAAAATGACTTGATTTCATTCAGAAGAGTTATATTAGACAGATTATAAAACTGAAATTATCCCCCTTTTTTATTTCATAGATAATAACATTATATTTTTTAATGACATATTGACGATCAAACCAAAAATATCCCCAGTGTTCATTTCAGAAATCTGGTCACCTTAAGCTAGCGCCACACACTCGTCCAAATATGGTCAGGTCCAAACGGCGGCTACGTACGCTTCGGTTATACCGTCTGTGGTGTGAACGCACTTCTGCACTAAAATAGCAAAAGTAAGTATGGAAGGGCGCGAATTGAGACACAGCATAACTGAACAGTTGTTAGCTGTTAGCTGTTAGCTGTCATGTACAGGCCATTCAGTCAGTTAGCTGTAGCTGAACTGAGTGAATTCAGAGCTAACCGCTAGTTAGCCGGCTAGTTGCTCCTGTTATCGCTCTGTTAACTTCATGTAATTGAGATTTAAATGACATTTTAACAGCTGAAACATCGTCGGGGCAAAAGGAGATGATGTCCGTGATGTGATACAGTGATGGTTACTATCAGCTGAACTACAGATCCAACATGGCCGCCGGCTCAGCTGTCAGTCCTCAGATGAAAACTCCATAAAGGGATTTCTGTTTGTCTGTTATTGATTTTCTGACCTTCATGTTTCTCACCATGTTTACAGTTAGTTTAAAGTTTCTCTGCAGCATTAAGTCTCAGTATGATTCATGTTTGTTTTTAAAGATATTCTTTATTTCAGAGTCAAACCTTTATATAGAAATAAAGTCATTTAATAAAAACAGATTCAGTGTTTTACATGTTTTTTGTTTCCGCGACCTGTTTTTACAAATTTAAAATCAGGATAAACTCATTAAATATAAATATTAATTATTATATAAATGACCTCTCTAAGGTGTGAGTCCTAAAACTCTCCCAGTGCATGCTGGGATAGATTCCCAACAGCATGTGTACTGTAGGAAAGAGAGGGATGGGTTTAAATTAGTGATTAAATTAGTAAAAAGAAATTAAAAATTTGAAAATACTTCCTTAGCAGAAAGTTTATATTTCTCAAGGTGAGTGACAGGTGAGGTTTTATTATAATATTTTATAATAATAAAATATTATTATATAATAATTTTATTTTCAGTTAAAATCTTAAAACAAAACTCACAATAACGATGCTCATCAATAAAACTGACAACAACAAAGTCATAAATAAAATTCCTTAATTTACAAATATACAGTATTTATTAATAGGGTAATTTGATACGTTTGCTCCTTCATCAATAAAATCATAATAACAATAACTTCTCTCAGTCCACAAAAAAAGCCACATGTTCCAGTGACAGGTGAGTGACAGGTGAGTGACAGGTGAGTGACAGGTGAGTGCGGGTGTCCAGCAGGGGGCGTGTCTCTGCCTGATGGTGCAGCACACTGTTGTCTGTGTCAGAAGGACTTGAGGTGATTTCAAACTGCTGCAGTCTGACCACCAGGTGGCAGTAACCAATCAGACTGCAGCAGGTACACACCTGACCTCTCCTCTGTCTGAGCATGCCCACATCTTCACACCAGCTCGCAGTGCTGGAGAAAGTATTCAGATCCTTTACTGCAGAAAAAGTACAAATACCACACTGTGAAGATAAACTGTTGTGATTTTATAAATTCTTCTTCCTCCTCGTTAATGTAAAGCAGGATGTTGCTGCTGCAGCTCCTTCTGAACTGTTTAGATTCAGACTGCAGCTGATGATTCATTTCATTCTGGATCAATCTGCGGATTATTTCCTCCATTGATCCCCTGACCGACTTCACAACCAACAGTCAAAAGCTCAATGCTACTAACAACCATGTCAGGTATTAGAACAAGTACATGAGAAAAAACACATGTAGTATAATCAGTCACATCTAGTCCTCTAGGCAGCACTCGTGTTCCTGGCTGTTGTTTAGAGGAACGTCTGAATGAAAGAAACAACGTGTTCTTCCTGTTTTTTATCTGATGGCCCCTCCGAGGGCCCCGACCCTCAGCTTTAAAACGTCATCCCAAGCTCTTTGAACTGTTTGGGATCAGTGTGTGTGTGTGTGTGTGTCGCTTTGATCGTCCCGGGGTCAGAGGTCAGGTGGCGTTGTCATTTCAGTCGTTTCCTGCTTCCTGTTTGGACGTCCTGGCACGCCGCTCCAACAAACACACACTTCCTGCCCCGCCCCGCCTCGCCAGCCTCCTGAGCTGTCAATCACGGAAACACAGAGACGAGCTGGACGAGTCCGATCGCTTCTGCTGCAGAACAACAGGAACATCCGTCCTCTCAGTCAGAGACATCAGACACCACATGTTGTACTTTTCACTGCATTTATTCAGATAACTTGAGTATGAACACAAAATATAATCAACTAATTACGTAGTGTCATTAAACGAGCTCCGCCTTCAGCAGCTGCAACATTAATGCGATGAACTCATGCAGGGACGGCCAGTATTCATGAGACATTTAAAACACGTCTTTCAGTACAAAACAGGATGTTGTCATTTGTATTTGATAGGGTCTACGTGATGACATCAATAAAATTGATTAATTGGTCTCTTATTTTAAAATACATTTTGATGTATTTTCGCCCGTCCCTGATTGCATCAATAATCCATTAATCTGACACTTGATCAGAACAGATCAACATGTTTAATGTCTCTCTGCTCTGGCTGATGTTTGATACAGATGGCTGCAGGTGAACTTGAACTCTCCTTCTCACTCGTCTGGTTAGCAGCGATCTCAACTCAGAACCTTACATCATTTGTTCATTCGATCCAGAAGACGGAAAAAACAAAACCAATAAAAGAAAAACGATTTAAACTTTCAAAAATGGAGAATAACGTGATGTTTGTCCACGACGTCTCCGGGCCAAACACAACAGAGTTATGAAGACAGACAGGTGTGAGGAACCTGCTCTGACATCATCTTGTAGTCCCTTTCTGATTGGCTGCTCTATGTGGGGAAGCAGATGGAGCAGCACTCCAGACAGATCTCCAAGCAGTCCGACGAGCCGCAACAATCCTCCATTATCCCACAATCCAACACGGCCTGACACGCCTCCTCTGTGCAGGCCGCCTCCCCTGCCGCCTCCACGCAGCAGCAACAGCCAGTGGCAGCGTCGCAACACCCGGCCCCGCCCACTCCGCACGCCAGACACTCTCCCAGAGCCGAACACATGGACAGCATCTCGCAGAACAGACAGGCCAGGAGACAGTGAACACAACAGTCTGTAGAGAGACAATCAGAACAGACAGGTCAGGGGACAGTGAACGCAACAGTCTGTAGAGAGACAATCAGAACAGACAGGTCAGGGGACAGTGAACGCAACAGTCTGCAGAGAGACAATCAGAACAGACAGGTCAGGGGACAGTGAAGGCAACAGTCTGCAGAGAGACAATCAGAACAGACAGGTCAGGGGACAGTGAACGCAACAGTCTGTAGAGAGACAATCAGAACAGACAGGTCAGGGGACAGTGAACGCAACAGTCTGTAGAGAGACAATCAGAACAGACAGGTCAGGGGACAGTGAACGCAACAGTCTGTAGAGAGACAATCAGAACAGACAGGTCAGGGGACAGTGAACGCAACAGTCTGTAGAGAGACAATCAGAACAGACAGGTCAGGGGACAGTGAACGCAACAGTCTGCAGAGAGACAATCAGAACAGACAGGTCAGGGGACAGTGAAGGCAACAGTCTGTAGAGAGACAATCAGAACAGACAGGTCAGGGGACAGTGAACGCAACAGTCTGCAGAGAGACAATCAGAACAGACAGGTCAGGGGACAGTGAAGGCAACAGTCTGCAGAGAGACAATCAGAGAACAGACAGGTCAGGGGACAGTGAACGCAACAGTCTGCAGAGAGACAATCAGAGAACAGACAGGTCAGGGGACAGTGAACGCAACAGTCTGCAGAGAGACAATCAGAACAGACAGGTCAGGGGACAGTGAACGCAACAGTCTGCAGTGAGACAATCAGAACAGACAGGTCAGGGGACAGTGAACGCAACAGTCTGTAGAGAGACAATCAGAACAGACAGGTCAGGGGACAGTGAAGGCAACAGTCTGTAGAGAGACAATCAGAACAGACAGGTCAGGGGACAGTGAACGCAACAGTCTGTAGAGAGACAATCAGAACAGACAGGTCAAACAATTATGAAGATATTGTAATTCTTGAAATTTCACACTTTTTTAATATAATGACTTGTCTCTAAATATTTATTTACTTTTCAAGGAAAAAAACAATTTTATTCTCAAAATATTTCAACTTTATCTTGAACGTTTTCTGTAAATATAAATTTCCTTTATGTTTGAAATAAGACTAATAAACACTAATAAAATGTGTATCTACTAAAGTTGAAGTCTCTTTAGTTCCTACTTCGTCCTAGTACATAACGAACACATCAGCTGTAAACGATGTTGAGCTGTCGGGTTTCGGAGTCATCACGGTGTCAGCCTGCTGTGGGTCAGGGAGGGTGTCGGTTGGTACAGGCCGGACCAACTGATGCTGGGAGGGGCTATAAATGTGTGCCTGTTCAGCAGAGATAAGCAGGCCGCCATGCTGAAGGTGTTCGGCTGATAAACACTGAGATGGGAGTGTGTTCGGTTTTTTGCTTCCTGTCAGACTGAAATACTGCCTGCCTGTCTGTCTGCTACATGTTCCATTACTGTTAATGCTCCACAACAGAGACGTGGTTTATTCACATTTGGAGACAGGAGGACATCACGCTGATGCAGCTTTTCATAAACTGTGGACACTTATTGTTTTGTTAGCGAGCTAGTTAGCTCAGATAGCTTTCGTGACCATCACTGTGTCCCACATAGATTCTGAGAAATGAGAAAATGAGCTGGAAATAATAAAAGTATTTAAATCAAAATACCAAGCAGCAGAGAGACTCTGACAAACTCTCTCAAAATACATCTCTGTCACAAATGTTTGTAGAGACTTTAAAAACTGTCCTGTAGAGCATCATCCGGTCCAACGCTTGTTCTTATAAGCCGTCAACCATTACAACGAGCAAACACTTGTTCTTATCCATCCATGGGCTTGGTAATCCATCCAGGAAACACTGTTATTTCAGCCCGTTCTCATCTCAGGGCGTCATATACCGACAATTTGAGAAAGAGTGACATAGCGTAGGTATTTGACGCTCGTCCCGTACAGACCGGAAGTGCTAGCTAGCTAGCGGTAGTGGTAGAGGAAGCCTCTACCTTTACCACAACCATCAGAAATGTTAGTACCTAAACCTAAGTCACTGAATGTATCCATGTCGACTGGCTAAGCCTCAGCCTCCCTTGTGTTGCTGCAACGTAGGAAACGGGGGCGTTTCATATGGACGCTGAAGGGTACCTTTAGCATAAAATCCTTACGCTTTGTCACGCTGTCTGAAAGCGTCAGTTATGACGCATTGAGATGAGAATGTGTTCAAAAATTAATATAAGCAATAATTCAATGTTTTATTAACTTATTAATTTAATGCCGACTATACAAACAACTCTTAAGGTTTTTGTGTATGAAATCGCAGGCATCCTTGTTGACTCTCCAATCACAAGCTGTGTTATTAGGTGGTGGACTGTCCACAAAGCACTGCACAAAATTGTTTATCCCTCATTCATAAATGTGATCTATGCTGTGTCACTTCAGTGTTGCAGTCGATATCGAAACACGACATCGACTGCAACACTGAAGTGACGTTCAGAGACTGAATGTGTCAAGACAGTTAAACGAGTTCATCTAAATCATATGAATTATATCTACACTATCTCTTTGGTGTTATTGGACAGTCAGGCAGTAGTTCAACATCTACGGTACAGGAAGTGTCGAGGCCAACAAGCTCTATAAGCGAGTCGAGTCGAGTCAGGTCAGGTCGAGTACACGGGTTTCTATGAATGTATACATCTATGGTAAGCCTAGAGGGGCAAACATGTATCAGTCAGTCACAACCTGCACTGCAGGACTGAATGAGTTTGTAACACTGTTTGAGGCTTTAATGTTTCCATGTATATGTCTTTTAGGTCGGTGGCTTATAAAGCTGAGTAGGAGGGAGAAGGTGAGTGACTTTGTCATAACGGACTTTAGAACGCAAGGATATGACTATTTCCTGGGGGCCATTTTTACTACTGTATATTTTCACTGAACTTATTGTGACCTTCCAAACCACTTCCACAGAGCATTAAATCAGCCTTTACGCTGACGACATACTTTTATATCTTTATTCATATCTGATCTCAGTCCAGCTCCACAGAGGATGAAATCTTTACTTTTCCTCTAGCGCCACCTTCAGGACAAACTTTACATTTTCAGAGATCAAACATGATTGGCTCACCATCTCCAGCAACCTCCTTAATGTGGGCGGCGTCTGTCTTGATGGAGCCGTGGCTTTTAGAGGAGGAGAGACGCTTCTGATTGGTGCTGTGTCGATGATGATGATGATGATGAGGAAGGCTGCAGCTTTTTCTGTTACAGGTGGATGACCGAGAAGGAGGAGGAGAGGTGACGGAGGAAGATGGAGGAGTACAGACGGGAGGAGGAGACACTGATGAGCTGTCCACACCTGAGAGACATGCAGATGACATCAGAGATGGCATCAGACTGAGACATGTCAGATTCAGGTACATGAAGTTAGATTAAATCCGGTGTTCAGCAGTTACCTTTCTGTTTTCGGAGTGCGGAAGCCGGCTGTGTGGGCAGGAGGCGAGAGATGTCATTGGTGTAGGTTAAAGAGTCATCACTGATGTCACCATCTTCTGCCCTATCAGAGAGAGGCGGAGGAGCTTCCTCTGCGGGAAGATGTAAACCTTAGAAAAATGCAGCCATCTTGGAATCCACACATTATTACAAGGGGGGGGGGGGGCAGTTTGGGTATAAAATTACCCGGATCTTCCACATAGTTTCCACATTATGCGACGCCACAGGAGCGAGTGCAGTAGAGGCTTCTGCCAGCTTACTCCCCGTTTAGCCCTCCATTAATAAATAATGAGGTTGATAAAATAATAATCGTGCGGTTCTCATTAAATGTTATCGGACCAAATGAATCAAGTTCTGCTAGTGAAACAAGTCATTTTGCGGAGGTTTTGATGAAAAAAAAAGGATCCAACGTTTTACAGCCGTCTTCATAAAGTAAGTTTATGGGTATTTTGGAGCCCAACCCTACAAAATAGCTTCAAAGCACGGCCCACTTCCTGGTTTGGAGTACCCAGCAAACTGAACCCTCACAGGTGACCTCAAGTGAGCGTCAAGGCCCACAAGGTCAGCCAGGTAAGGTTATACGGGATCTGAACATTAGTCGTCTCTCACCATTACACACTGACGTTTCATATTTCACTATACAGTTCATTATTATAAAAGTAAGTAAGAGTTGAGTTTGGTCATTTATGTCTTTATATGTTGCAGATGTGATTTGTTTTGTGTTTTCATGGTTAACGGTGAGGGAGTTATTTTGGACCCCGTGGTTCCTGCAGTCTGCTTCTTGTTCTCAGAGACACCAGTCGGGTTTCATCTGAATTATTTTAACTGAATCTCTGAACGGGACCTGCTGCCTGTCTCAATCGAACTGCCTCTGTGGGAACACGAGCTCATTGGTTGTGGGCTTAAGTTTCAAGAACCGGAACCGGAAAACTGAACCAGCTGCAGTCAGGAGGTTTGGTGCGAGGGAGGAAGAAGCTCCAACATGATGAAGCGTTTCCTTCAACACGGCGTGAATCTGAAGGAACGCTTCGCCGTGTTCAATGTGTCGCGCTCTCCCAGATCCAGCTAACGCTAACAGCAGCAACGCCTCAGGTACAGAACACAGGTGAGCTGACGTTCACCTTTTATACTGAAGGGAAACCAACGCTGCTGTTAAACCATAACATGAGAAGAAGTACGCAGCGAGGTGACTCAAAGATCTCTATTAAAATGGTGAAAACACGTTTCTGTTAGTTTCATGTGTTAATGTTAAAGCAGATGAACTGCAGAGAATGAACCGGTAAAGAAACAGATACTTGATTCTGAGGTTTTCAGGGTTTCTGGTGTTAACTGACTCCCCCCACTGATCTGAACCATGACCAAGATCTTTCCTGAACGCTAACCAAGAAGAATTTAGCCAAACCCTAAAAATGAGGCAAAGTCTCTGTTGTGTCGATGTGTTGTGAGGATTTGTGTTGTGGGTTGGGAGGAAGTCGGGCCTGTAAGTCTCAGCTCAGGGTAACGTCCTGAAACAGGAAGTCGTCTGTCTTCCGCTGGTGCAGACAGGACGTGGATCCAGATGTGGACACCGGTCGTGACGTCAGAGACGGTTTAACTGTTCTCAGGTCAGTTTAACAGTTTATATAATGTCACAAAGACAAATGATAAAAATCACACAGGTGGCTTTCTGTCTCACCTGCGTTGTGATGTGGGAGCTTCCCATTGGCTGTCGGCTGGCTCGAGATGCATTCTGATTGGATTGGGATCTTATTGGCTCCGCTCTCAGTGATGTCAGAGCCGCTGCAGTGTGATGTCACATCCATCCTGCCAATGTAACGATGAATGTTGCTCAGACTCAAACAACAACAGAGATGATGACAATAATAATAAGTTAACTATAAACATCATCCATTCATGAAACACAGCTCAAAGAGAGCCAACAGGTGAAATATACATCTATCATTAGTGTCAACGATTAATCTGTGACGTCATCTTGCTGACATAACGGCAGTTTATTTAAATTTAAGTGTCAAAATCTATTTGTCTCTATGGCGACGCAATAAAAACAATAACCATAAATATCATAATATAATTTCAAAATAACAAACGTTCAATAAATGTTTGATTTGATTAATTTGAATCACGAATGAATCAGCACTTAATTTTGCTATTACGATATTTATTTTGTTGAGGAAAAGTGGATGGAATAAAGATTTTACTTAATGTTCCTCGTGCATATTTGTGGAGAACAGGTTTTGTGAGCCACTGTTTGACATCATGTGTTTGTTCTGACCAGAAAGAAAAGTTTTAAACCTGAATTTTCACCCTTTTTTATAATCAGCCTTTAAACCTGAAAGAAATAAAGATTTGACTGATAATTATTGAAATCTAATGATATGAAATGTTTTATCGCGATAACAGTTTTGACCGTAGCACCCATCCATATTTGTATCTAATTAATTAATTGGTTTTATTATGTCATTTTTATTTCTGAAATTGTTTTACTACCAGCGGTGGAATGTAACTAAGTACTTTTACTCAACTCCTGTCAGGGATCGAGTTATAATCTGAGCTTCATGGGGGTCTCGAAATAGCCTACTAACATACGTTACCGGCTGAGAGAAATAAATAAGGCTCAGATTAGGGGTGTGACGGCACACTTGGGTCACAAGAGCAAGACAAGATGATATTTTAACAGTATTTTCAAGACTTTGAGCATTTAACACTTACTGCACCAAAATATGGTGGAAATGTCTTTATTTATATGAAGGGAAGCAAAATGAATCAGCAGCTTGTTGTTTTATCTGAAGTTACTTTTTTGGACAGTGCACGTTTGCTTCTTCTATATTTCAGTTGCACTGCATGTGTTTCATTTGTTATTTAACATTTCTTGTTGCTGTTGTTCAGAACATTTTTAACAAAAGCTTTGAAAAAGTGATGAAGACATTCTGACTCTGTCCTGTCCCCAGCGTCCCCGGTGTAAATGACGCCTATCTGTCAATATTTCTATTATATAAAATAAATAAATGTCCTGCTGCACCCAGGCTGCGACACTGAAGAGCTTTCTGCACACGGCTGTCTGGAAGGCGCCCGAGCTTCTTCTTCTCCCTCGTCTGTCTCGCAGACAAAGATTAGCAGGTGAGCGTCACGCAGCGCCAGCGTCACGTCGAGGTGCTGCTACTGCGTACCGGCGCGTACCGGTACGCACCGGTACGCACCGGTGCGCACCGGTGCGCACCGGCCCACTTCAAGCTCTGAAGCTCAATCTGTTCCATCAACACTGGACAAAACAAGTTAACTTAAACCTGTTTATCTATTTGATGTAAATATTACTAATTACAATAAAAACACATTATTTGTGATTCAAAATAATGTTTGTTGGTAAAAGAATCAGTGACCCCCACAGATGCTGATTTTACTGCTTCCACGGGAGCTCAGACCTCCTGATGGGAGCTTAAGTACAAATTCGAGGTATTTGTATTTTGCTTGAGTATTTCCATGTTATGCAGCTTTCTACTTCTTCTACTCCACATCTCAGAGGTAACAGGGTACTTTTTACTGCACTACAGCTTTAGTTACTTTACAGATTGCCCTTCCTGCCATTCGTATCGTCACAAAGCTACAAACACACGACGGTCTCACAGAATATGATGCGTTGCTGTTGATTAAACGAGCCAACGGGACCTGAGCTCACGAGCCCTGACGATGCACAATGTTTGGTTCACGAGGACAAGACCAGAAGATATTGTAACACTATTTTGCAGAAATATTTAATGCTGAAATATGTGAGTGGAGATCTGAGCCAAAGCATTGAACAGTTAATTTCCTGCAATCTGGAGACATTTTCTGCACCATATATATAATATAACAGGTTATAATGCAGTAATCAGCAGCTTGTTTAAATTATACCTATACAACAAAATATAAAGGAGCTCAAATGAGCTCAAGCTCAAACATGTGCAGCAGTAAAATGTAACATCCTCGTTATTGCAGCAGGAATATTAATCCAGAAACATCCGATATAACAGAGAAACACTGACAGGGACATTTTACTTTCATACTGTAAGTACACGTTGCTGATAATACGTACTTTTACTTCAATAAAGTATCTCAAGTACTGTACTTAAGTACAAATCAGAGGTATTTGTACTTTACTTGAGTATTTCCTTTTCATGCCACTCCATCTCCATCGTCCAGATTTCTTTACACACAAAACTCATGAAGAGTTTATAAAATATGATGTTTGGTTGTAAATTAAACTCCAACAGTTTCTACAGGCGGCTGACAGGATCAGTCCATTAATCAATAAGTCAACTGACAGAAAATTGACAACTTTTTGATCATAAAGTCATTTTGCATGTATAAAAAATGTCACGCTTCACAAACATGAAGATTTGCTGCTTTTCGTGTTAATTATTTAAATATTTTTAATGTATTGTTTAATCATTTTGAGGTTTGGACCGCAGAAAATAATCAGCAGATTATTTCTGTAATGAAAATAATCTGAAAATCTTTCAGTCTGAAACAAATGAGTTCAAAATGAGCTCATCAACTTCAAGAACAGTAAAATCCTGCTTTCACTTTAATGCATGAAGAATAAAAATCTCATGATATGATATCTAACAGTAACAAGACATTTTTCTGCATTGAGTACTTTTAATACTTCAAGTACATTTTTATGATTATGTTTCACTCTAAGTTACATTTTCAAAGCAGGACTTTTACTCATCAAAGAGTATTTTTACAGTGAGGTATTAGTACTTTTACTGAGGTGAAGGATCTGAATACTTCGCCCATCACTGATGAAAGCTGCTGTGAAAAGAAAGTTAGTTTGGAAGCTGATCAATACTTAGAGACAAAGAAGTGATGCAAAGGTTTCTGTCTCCTGCTCTGATATTATCATCTATATTCCACAGATAATGTTTAAAGCTGGAACACAGAGCGTTTCCTCACCTGCTGCTGCTTTCTGTCGCTTCTAAACTTTCCTCCTCTCGCGTCTCTCAGCAAAACAGGTCGCCGTCGCGTCGGGAGCGCGCGCATGCGCGTGACTGCCTCCTCCCCCTCCGCTTCCTTTGAGGTGCGACACACACAGAAATAAAATCACCTAACAGAAAATAAAGAGTCATTTTAACAATACCAGGAACATTTTGCACATTAAAAGAAAAAACATTTATTATTTTAATTATTCACATGTGCATAAAAGGGGGTGGAGTCAGCTAAAATGCACTAATGGGTTACTTTTAAGGTTTATTAAAATTATTTATTATTCTTTTAATTATATATCTTTTAAGACCTTGTAGTTTTTATTTGCTGTCTTTCTTACTCTTGTCTGTATCGATGTTAAAACACAGTGAATTGCTTCCATGTATGAATGTTGTGCAGTTTAAATAAACTTGCTTTGCGGTAAAAGTACTTTATTGTCAAATACATGTAGCGAAATTCTTAAATATTTCTATGTATAAAAAACGTGTTTTGGAAAGATGGGAGTTTGGGTATCAGCAGGTTCCCTCAGCTGTTCAGGTTAGATGTTAAAGGAAAACAACACTTTTAGCTGAAATCATTTTCAAGTATAGACACTATTGGGGTAAACAAGGAAGAACTGAAACAAAATTTAAATCCTCTTAACCTGAAATAGAAAGTAAGATAAATATAGTTAAGTTGTTTTAACTCTGAATGAATAAAATGCAGGAATGTGTTTTATCCAGTTTGTTGTTAAATTTGTAACAATCTTTATCACGTGTCTTTATTACTCCCACACAAAAAGCTGCTTCAATGGTCGAGCACAGCCTGTAGTTGTTCATTATATTCAGATCAAATCTGATGTTTATTTATAAATGTTGCTCATGGATCGTGGTTACAAATAATGATGCCTGTGCGGCGTGCAGCCCTGCAGCCTATCAGCTGGTTTATTTGCCTGATCTTAGCAGGTCGGTGGAAACACACACAACAGTGGGCTGAAGGAACCTTTTAGTTCCTTGAAAAGAGATCCGGGGACTAAAAAGTATCTGATCAAGTAAAATATTTTTTTGTTTTAACTCAAAGTATGAAGTTATAAAAAGTTCAATCAACAAAAATAAACAACATGGAACACAGAAGTTATATCAACTTTATGAACTTTGATTTGATACAAAGGAAATCTTCAAGTTGGGTTAACTTGAATTTCCAAGTTAAACTACTTTGAAATATGTAGTGTGGGTATAGAGACCTATAAAACTGTCGTGGCCCATTTTAGTCTCCTGCTTTAGGTAAAATAGCAAGTCTTGTACAAGCCCTGTTGTGCAGATCAATTAGGCTTCATTTTTCATCATAATTTTAACCTGTCTTTATGCCAGCATAGAGTCCCAAACTTATGGAAACAATCTACAATTATATAATGTACTTTTTACTACATTTATCTGACAGCTTTAGTCAAGGGCGTCACTTTGTGTTGAAAGGTGGCTGCGACAAAGAGGCTCAGATGAGGGTTGTAAAGAGACACTCACGATGCGATTTTAGGTTCACCAGAACGAGACAAAAGATCCTTTAACAGTGTTTTAAAGATATCCTCAATGCCAGATATAAGAGCGGGGGGGCTGGGGGGGGCATCCCCCACAAAATTTAGATCTTTAAACACTTAATTTTCTCCATTCTGGTGAAAGTTTCTGCACCAATTTATGGTGGAAACATTTTTATTTATGTAAAAGGAAACAAAATTCACATGGCACTTGACATTTCAAAGTAAATAAATATAACAGAATCTAAGTGAGTGCAGCTCTCAGATCAGTTTGTCCTGCAGATCAACTTTTCTCCTGTAACATCGTCCCTGCTGAGGCAGGATTTAGTCTTCCCTCCTCTTTGGTCATGTTCACAGGGAGAGAACACAAAACTGTGTCAACAAGTTATTAAAGTTACTGACTGCTGCACGTTTTTGAATCATTTTATAATCAGCAGCTTGTTTTTTTTAGCTTAAGTTACTTTTTTTTGGACAATGCAGAATTTGTTTCTTCTATATTTTAATTGCATTGAGTGTTTTCTTCATGTGCAGCTTTCTAAAAGCATTTCCATCTGTTATTTAACTGCAAGTTATGTTTTAGAATGTTTTTAAACAAATTATGCTTTAAAACAGTGGTGGGGACACGTCCCCAACGTCCCCAGTGTAAATGACACTGGCTTTAGTCACTTTGCAGGTTCAGATATTTAACAAGATGCTGGAAACTGTGAGAAAGTAGTTAAAGCTGCTCCTCCGTCAGTGACATCCATCCATCGTCAACCGCTTATCCTGCGTACAGGGTCGCGGCCGTCTGTGACTCCCATAATATGATCTTTATACTACTCTCCGCCCAACATGTACTACTTTTTTAATACTTTGAGTACACTTTTCTGTTTTGTACTAAAATCTTGAACATACGAGTTCAACAGAGTTTTTGTAAAGAGCAGTGCCGATTTAGTGTTTCAGTGCTGCTGTCTGCTGGACCCACAAAGAACTGCAGCTCTGTACTGTGGACGGGGGCTGAAACATGAATTCTCTCTGATTTGAAAAAGTAAAAAAACATTTTGAAGGGGAGAACTGATTAATGTTAGTGATTTAATACAAATATGTTACAGAGCTCTGGACCGCACAGTGTTGGACCTACCTGTCTATTATTATTATTATTATTATTATTAATATTGGGCCACATTTCCTGCATCTTAATAAATCTTAATGCAATAACCCGTTGCCATGGTTTCTATTTTATTCTGTTCTTATTTTATATAGTTATTTATTTTTGGAGTTTCTCTGATTATCTGTACTGCTGATAAAACACCGACTTTCCCCTCTGAGGGATCAATAAAGGATTATCTTATCTTCAATGAGTCTTTGCGGTTACTGATCTGACCCAGAGGTCAGTGTGCAGGTGAGTCTCCGTCCTGCAGGTGTCGCTGCTGAAGCTGCTCCCTCTCACCGCTTTTCTCCGCACAGAAGAAGAAGAAGAAGAAGAAGCCTGAGGAGGAGGGGGAGGAGCAGAAACAAAGAGACTTGTGCAGATTTTCTTAAAAATGAAAAATGAGTGAAATGCAGACGGAGTTCCGATGAGGGTTTAACCGGAGGACTAATTCTTGTGAAACCCGAGCAGCTTCATCATGGTGAGTCTTCCTCAGACAGACAGGCGTGCAGACAGACAGACAGATGTTCGGGTGATGGAGAGAATAACGGAGCAGCTGGACTCACCGTTCAATAACCTGCAGCATCACAAAAAACACACATGAGCTAGAATGTGCAGAAAAGTGAACGGAGTTTGGTTCCACGGTGGGAAAAACGACCAGCGTGCATGAAAACAACTGCATGAATAAAACATCTGTAAAGTGAATTCATCGTTTAATAAATACACAATCTGAAACAGGGCTTTGAGCCGTCTGCAGAATCTAGTCCAGGTTTGATAAGGACAGGTTTTTTTTAATGTAGACCTGGTCTGATGTGGTCTGGATGGATGAAAGAAACTGTGAAATAGCCCTTTTTTCTTTGCCCATAAGCAGATCCAGACCAGGGTGTCCATCAAACCCACATCTGGCATGTTTTTAACGGACATCTTCTTGATGGACTCTGCAGAGTCAGTTTATTCACTTTAAAATCCACCAGCAAACATTTTAATGATTATAATAATTAATGGTTCCAGAATCTCACATGTGAATCTATTTTACAGACCAAACAACTAATTGATTAATTGACAAAATAATTGGCAGATTCATTGATAATAAAATAAAAAGAGTTTCAGTCCCATGTTAGTCCAGTCCAGTACATGTTTTCTATGTAGACCTGGTCTGGATGGAGGAAAGAGACATTTACATTTTTTAGTTTTTTTAGTTTTCTGAAGTAAGTTCAAGGTTTAAGAGAAGATAAGATGTTACTGTATTGATCCCTCATAGAAGAATTGGCACCGCAGCGCAGGGGAACTTAGTCCAGAGAGTAAAATAAAAACTAAAAGTAGAGTTAAAATCTGATTCAAATATATAAGATATATACACTGTATACAACCCAAATAGAATATGGTATCCTTGTGTATATCTGTTTAAAAAAGAGTTGTGCTGTCAGTGAAAAAAGAGAGAGTCATTTTTAAAAAGCAAGTCTGGAGTCTCACAGTTTTTCCATCCATTTTTTATTCTGTCTTCACGACGAGTTTAAATGCTTTAAATATCTGACTTTAATGTCATCACGGTAATCCAGCCATCTGTTCGCCTGGACCTGGTCTGATGTGGTCTAGTTCCTGCGTTTTAATGTTTTGTCAGGAACCTTTTTCACACTTTAAAGAGGTGTAACAGCAGAGAATCGTCTAAAAGGTGCAACTTTAATTTTAACGTGTGAATCAGCAGCCAAACTCAGCTTTGACCTGCAGCTGTTGTAACGAGATGCCGCTGCTTCTCCTGTTTGTTTGTTTGTTTGTTTGTTTGTTTGTTGTGTCTCAGTCTGAGGAGGCTGCAGGAGCAGAGCGAGGCCCAGAGGAGGAGGGAGGAGCAGAGGGAGGTGATGGAGGCAAAGAGGGAGGTGGGGGAGAAGGAGAAGGAGGAGGAGAGGTGGTCAAGGGAACCCCCAAAGGTCCAGTGTACTGTATCTGCAGGAGACCAGACATCAACTGTTTCATGATGTAATAAACCTCATATATCTTCCATAAATAATAGATTCTATGGAGAAATATGACGTCAGCACTAACCTGTCTGTCTGTCTCTCAGAGGGTGTGACAGCTGCACTGAGTGGTTTCATGGAAACTGTGTTGGAGTTTCAGAAAAAGCAGCTAAAGCCATCAGAGTCTGGTACTGTCCGTCCTGCAGAGGTCAGTGTCTTATAATATCTAAAATAGTGTTAACACAGGAAAAATATTAAGTATGCAGTGGTGTGAAAAAGTGTTTGCCCCCTTCCCGATTTCTTATTTTTTTTGCATGTTTGTCAAATTGAAATGTTTCAGATCATAAAACAAATTGAAATATTAGACAAAGATAACACAAGTAAACACAAAATGCAGTTCAAATGAAGGTTTTTATTATTAAAGGGAAAAAAATCCAAGCCTACATGACCCTGTTAAAACTGTGGAAAGCTGAATTCAGTTCTTCTAGCCA